GAAGACACTTGCCAGTTGGTCAGCGCATGCTCAGAGTACACGTCCTGGTAATCCGTCTGGCCCTGAGGCCTTGTGAATGTTGACCTGCTTAAAAGTCTTACTCACATCGGCTACGGAGAGCGTGATCACATAGTCATCCGGAACAGCTGATGCTCTCAGTGTTGCTTGACTCGAAGTGAGCATAGAAGTGATTTAGCTCGTCTGATAGGCTTGTGTCACTGGGCAGCTCATGGCTGTGCTTTGCAGTCTGTAATAATTTTCAAGCCCTGCCTCATCCTACGAGCGTTGGAGCCGGTGTAGTACGATTCAATCTTAGTCCTGTATCGACTCTTTGCCTGTTTGATGGTTCGTCGGAGGGCATAGTGGGATTTCTTATAGGTGTCCGGGTTAGAGTCCCGCTCCTTGAATGCGGCAGCTCTACCCTTTAGCTCAGTGCATATGTTGTCTGTAATCCATGGCTTCTGGTTGGGGTTTGTACGTGCAGTCACTGATGAAGCCAGTGACTGATGTGGTGTACTCCTCAATGCTATTGGAACATATTCCAGTCTGTGCTAGCAAAACAGTCCTGTAGCTTAGCATCTGCATCATCTGACCACTTCCTTATTAACCGAGTCACTGGTGCTTCCTGCTTTAGTTTTTGCTTATAAGCAGGAATCAGGAGGATAGAGTTATGGTCAGATTTGCCAAATGGAGGACGAGGGAGAGCTTTTTACGCGTCTCTGTGTGTGGAGTAAAGGCGGTCTAGAGTTTTTTTTCCCTCTGGTTGCACGTTTAACATGTTGGTAGAAATTAGGTAGAAAGGATTTAAGTTTTCCTGCATTAAAGTCCCGGGCCACTAGGAGCACTGTCTCTGGATGAGCGTTTTCCTGTTTACTTATGGCCTTATACAGCTAATTGAGTGCAATCTTAGTGCCAGCATCGGTTTGTGGTGGTAAATAGACAGCTACGAAAAATATAGATGAAAACTCTCTTGGTAAATAGTGTGGTCTACAGCTTATCATAACATTTGCAACATTGTTTCAATATTCAAATTCAATATCCAGCTGTTGCATAGTAATGAACATGATGGAGTGTTTCACCGGCTTCTCTGGCATTATCAGTTAATTATCGACCCTCTGCAGAGCAACATTGATGGCATTTAAGTGATAATGCCCGAGAAGCCGGTGTTTGGAGGATATATTGGCATGGGTGTTGTTAGGCTAGAGGGTTGCTACCCAAACAGTCTGGTCGTTTGATATATAATTTCAGTTGCCAGAGACGCGACCCAGTCGTTAAGTCTTTTTGTTCTGTATCTATGGACAGTTGTTCGTTCTAAATGTTCTATTGCCATACTGGCTGGCAACGTTCTTATTCTTGCTTGCTAGCTAGCCAACTGTGGCTAACTTACAGTCACATCAAAAACAGTGCAGCCAGAATAACAACAAAGTAGCTGCATTTGCATTTGTTTAAACTGTTTTAAGCTTATCGTGAGATACTCTACCTCAGGCGAGCAAAACCTTGAGACTTCCTTAGTATTAGATTTTATGCACCAGCTGTTGTTTACAAATATACACAGACTGCCACCCCTTGTCTTACCGGAGTCAGCCGTTCTATCCTGCCAATGTAGCGTATATCCCGCCAGCTGTATGTTATCCATGTCGTTGTTCAGCCATGAATCGGTGAAACATAAGATATTACAGTTTTTAAAGTCCCATTGGTAGGATAACCTTAATTGTAGGTCGTCCAATTTATTTTCAAATGATTGAACATTGGCTAATAGGATTGATGGAAGAAGCAGTTTACTCGCTACGATATCTCTGTCTCTTCCTCATGTGAATGACGGGGGATTTGGGCCTTGTCGGGTGTCTGTAGAATATCCTTCACATCCGACTCGTTGAAGAAAACATCTTCGTCCAATATGAGGTGAGTAATCACTGTCCTGATATCCACGGTGGCAGAAACATTATGTACAGAATTAATTACACATTTTTACATTTACATTTCAGTCATTTAGCAGACGCTCTTATCCAGAGCGATTTACAGTTAGTGAGTGCATACATTATTTTTTAAATTTTCATACTGCCCCCCCCGTGGGAATCGAACCCACAACCCTGGCGTTGCAAACGCCATGCTATACCAACTGGCAGGGAATCCCTGCCGGCCATTCCCTCCCCTACCCTGGACGACGCTGGGCCAATTGTACGCCACCCCATGGGTCTCCCGGTCGTGGCCGGCTACGACAGAGCCTGGATTCGAACCAGGATCTCTAGTGGCACAGCTAGCACTGCGATGCAGAGCCTTAGACCACTGCGCCACTCGGGAGCTAACACAACTGATTGTCTCAAACGCATTAAGAAGGAAAGAAAGTCCACAAATAACGCGAAAAAACACATAATAGTACAATGGTTTAGAGGGCTGTAAAACTGCAGCTATCTTCTCTAGCGCCATTGCACACTCTTGGCATTCTCTCAACCAGCTTCATGATGAATGCTTTTCCAACTGTCTTGAAGGAGTTCCCACATATGCTGAGCACTTGTTTGGCTGCTTTTCCTTCACTCTGCGGTCCAACTCATCCCAAACCATCTCTATTGGGTTGAGGTCGGGTGATTGCGGAGGCCAGGTCATCTGATGCAGCACTCCATCACTCTCCTTGGTCAAATAGCCCTTACACAGCCTGGAGGTGTGTTTTGGGTCATTGTCCTGTTGAAAAACAAATGATAGACCCACCAAGCGCAAACCAGATGGGATGGCGTATTGCTGCAGAATGCTGTGGTAGCCATGCTGGTTAAGTGTGCCTTGAATTCTAAATAATTCACAGACAGTGTCACCAGCAAAGCACCCCCACACCATCACACCTCCTTTTCCATGCTTCACGGTGGGAACCACACATACAGAGATCATCAAAGACACTTTGGATGGAACCAAAATTCTCAAATTTGGACTCATCAGACCAAAGGACAGATTTCCACCAGTCTATTGTCCATTGCTCATGTTTCTTGGCCCAAGCAAGTCTCTTCTTATTATTGGTGTCCTTAGTAGTGGTTTCTTTGCAGCAATTCGACCATGAAGGCCTGATTCACACAGTCTCCTCTGAACAGTTGATGTTGAGATGTGTTTGTTACTTGAACTCTGTGAAGCATTTATATGGGCTGCAATCTGAGGTGCAGTTAACTCTAATGAACTTATTCTCTGCAGCAGAGGTAACTCTGGGGTCTTCCTTTCCTGTGGCGGTCCTCATGAGAGACAGTTTCATAATAGCCCTTGATGGTTTTTGCGACTGCACTTGAATAAACTTTTCCTGATTGACTGACCTTCATGTCTGAAAGTAATGATGGACTGTCATTTCCCTTTGCTTATTTGAGCTGTTCTTGCCATAATATGGACTTGGTCTTTTACCAAATAGGGCAATCTTCTCTATACTACACATACCTTGTCACAACACAACTGATTGTCTCAAACGCATTAAGAAGGAAAGAAAGTCCACAAATTAACGTTTAACAAGGTACACCTGTTAATTGAAATGCATTCCAGGTGACTACCTCATGAAGCTAGTTGAGACAATGTCAAGTGTGTGCAAAGCTGTCATCAAGGCAAGGGGTGGCTACTTTGAAGAATCTCATATATAAAATGTATTTTGATTTGTTTAGTTTTGATGTCTTCACTATTATTCTACAATGTAGAAAATAGTAACAATAAAGAAAAACCCTGGAATGAGTAGGCGTGTCCAAACTTTTGACTGGTACTGTATATGTTTACCTCGGCTTGTATCTCCATCCTCACTAAATAAAAGTCCTCATTCTAGCCATTGCACCTCTACATCTTGTCTGGCTTCTCACTGCTCCACCGCCAAGAGCACCATTTTACCCCTCCATCTCTGTCTCTGTTTCTGGGCTTCACATGATTGAGTCAGGCAGGCAGAAGAAGAGACGCTACCTGCAGGCAGAGAGAACATCATGAGTCTACAACAGACATGCCTAAGCTGGAGCCTAGTGGCACACAGTTTTGTATTGCTATCCTTGTGGGGACCAAATAATTGATTCCCATCCAAAATCATATTTCCCTTACCCTAAATCTAACCCCCAATCTAACCATAACCATAACCTTAACCCTAAACCTAACCATAACCTCTAACCCTAACACTATACCTAACCCTAACTCCTAACCCGAACAGTAACCCCTAACCATAACCTTAATTCTAACCCAAATTGTAACCCTAACCCTAAACCTAACCCCTAAGCCTAAAATAGCATTTTTCCTTGTGGGGACCGGCAAAATGTCCCCACTTGTCCGAATTGTCCTTGTTTTATTATCGTTGTGAGGACTTCTGGTACCCACAAGGATAGTTAAACATTAGCAAAAACACACAGACACATACACAGATCAAATCTTTCGTGTTGCAACCATTTATCCACAGTTCGATTTTACTTCAGCACGCTAGATGGCGGTATGATTCGTTTGTGGCCTGGAGACACGAAGCCAGAAACCGGAAACACGCGCCATCGTCATCTGCAGGAGAAATAACAACAAAACATTATGTCACTGTGTAGCTTTGTTGTTGAGACATTTTAAGTGTCAAGCGCTTTTAATCTTTAACTCGTGTTCTGTCCCTCGCTTCATGGTAAGCTTTTAAACATCATATTCATGGTTCCAAGAACACGATACAGCTGTTACTATGATAAATAACTGCAGCAGATAGAGAGCAAAATTAGCTAGCTACCGTTAGCTAGTTGACGCTAGTTTAAGTCTTTCACTACCTGGGTTTGTTTACCAGGCTAGCTAACTTATTTTCGCTTGGGGAAAAAACACTTTGACGTTGCCCCTTCTAAACCGTGGTCGTTTAGGTTTCCTTTCTCAAAACACTTTGACGTTGCCCCTTCCAAACCGTGGTCGTTGATGTTTCCTTTCTCTTTTATTTTGTGTCAATCAGGATGCCTCGCCCTGTCCATACGGCAGAAACAAGCCTGGGTTTTCTTCTGAGCTATAACTAGCTGGTAACATCAGCCTAACGTCACTCCTTCAACATGGCCCAACCGAGAGGAGTCAACAGCCTGCAGTTCAACCAGGACCAGAGTAAGACAAGAGTAGCCTACTTTGTGAAGACAGACAGAGATCTGTAGGAGAGTACGTTACTTTAGTCAGTCTTACTCTTGTTTCAGACCGTGTACATTTATCAGTGTACCTCCCCCCTCCCCAGGTTGTTTCTGTTGTGCCATGGAAACCGGTGTCAGGATCTACAATGTGGAGCCTCTTATGGAGAAGGGACACCTTGGTGAGTGGAATTCAGACCTGTGGTATCAGCTGTTTGTGTGTCTGTATACTGTGTGTGTGTGTGTGTGTGTGTGATCATACTGTGCTTGTCAGACCATGAGCAGGTGGGTAGTGTGGCCCAGTGTTCAATGCTGCATCGCTCCAACCTGCTGGCTGTAGTAGGAGGAGGAGTCAACCCCAAGTTCTCTGAGATCTCAGGTGAGTGGATGAGCGGACCACATATTTTTTAAATTACTGATTACACTTGAATTTCCGAACAACTAAGGGTGTTGAAACGCGGGGATAAACTTTACACATGCACAGATACTCTGAATGACTGTGAGAGCAAAATCTTGCGGTGCTGGTCATGGCAATGTCGTATTGCTGAGTCTCAGTTTAAATTGTGGCAGTGACTTGGACTGATTGCATTTAGATTTTAGAACATTTTTGATAATGATTCTCATGTATTGTTTTCATGTCATTCAAAACCTAATGCATTGTTTTAATCCTAGTGTTGATCTGGGATGATGCTCGGGAGGGGAGGGACCCCAAGGACAAGCTGGTGCTGGAGTTTACCTTCACCAAGCCTGTTCTGGCCGTACACATGAGACACGACAAGTGAGTGACTATCTGAACGTTTAGTAACATTCTCCTGAACAAGCCTCAACTCCCCATAGAGCACCCTGTAGTGTGCTGTTTGTAGTTGTTTTACTAACCCTTCTCTCCCTCTGCTTTCTTTCACTCCAACCTCTCCCCTCACTTACTCTATCTCCTATCTCTCTCTACCCCTTCTTTCTCAGGATCATCATTGTGTTAAAGAACAGGATCTATGTCTACAGTTTCCCTGACAACCCTGTGAAACTGTTTGAGTTTGACACCAGAGACAACCCTAAAGGTACAAATACACACACATGGATATGTTTATCTGATAGATGTATGGATTTCCCCCCCCCTCTCACTCTCTCTCTGTCAGGACTGTGTGACCTGTGCCCCAGTCTGGAGAAACAGCTGCTGGTCTTCCCTGGACATAAGTGTGGAAGTCTACAGCTTGTGGTAATTCATCCATTTCATTTAAAAGTTCATTGCATGGTACTATACTATGTTGGATTATAAACTGTTCATAAGCACACCTTCACATGTCATTTCATTGACTTATGGATTCCTAGTGTTGAAGACTATCTGCCCTCCCATATCAAATGCATTAAATCACAACTTTAGAGACTCTTTCGAAACTGCGCTGTGTGTGTTGATAATTCTTCACATTACCAATGAGGTCCCAGTCAGTGTTGAACTCTCTCTCTCCTCTGTGTCCCTCTATCCGCTCCAGGACCTGTCCAACACCAAGCCTGGCACATCGTCTGCCCCCTTCACCATCAACGCCCACCAGAGTGAGATCGCCTGCCTGGCGCTCAACCAGCCTGGCAGCGTGGCAGCCTCGGCCTCCCGCAAGGGCACCCTCATCAGACTGTTTGATACTACCACCAGAGACAAACTAGTGGAGCTACGCAGAGGAACGGACCCTGCTACACTCTACTGGTACTGGGGGAGAGAGAGAGGAAGGAAGTAGGGGGAGATGGAAGTGATGCTGAGTGTGTCAACGCTTCTCTTTCTCTCTCTGTCTGTCTCGCTCTCTCTTCCAGCATCAACTTCAGTCATGACTCTTCGTTCCTGTGTGCCTCCAGTGACAAAGGCACTGTTCACATCTTCGCTCTCAAAGATACTAAACTCAACAGACGCTCCGCGTAAGATGCACGCATGTGTGTGTTTGCGTGTGTTTGAGAGAGAGTTTCTCAGTGTATTAATTTGTGCATGTACAGTGGGGAGAACAAGTATTTGATACACTGCCGATTTTGCAGGTTTTCCTACTTACAAAGCATGTAGAGGTCTGTAATTTTTATCATAGGTACACTTCAACTGTGAGAGACAGAATCTAAAACAAAAATCCAGAAAATCACATTGTATGATTTTTAAGTAATTCATTTGCATTTTATTGCATGACATACGTATTTGATACATCAGAAAAGAAGAACTTAATATTTGGTACAGAAACCTTTGTTTGCAATTACAGAGATCATACGTTTCCTGTAGGTCTTGACCAGGTTTGCACACACTGCAGCAGGGATTTTGTCCCACTCCTCTATACAGACCTTCTCCAGATCCTTCAGGTTTCGGGGCTGTCGCTGGGCAATACGGACTTTCAGCTCCCTCCAAAGATGTTCTATTGGTTTCAGGTCTGGAGACTGGCTAGGCCACTCCAGGACCTTGAGATGCTTCTTACGGAGCCACTCCTTAGTTGCCCTGGCTGTGTGTTTCGGGTCGTTGTCATGCTGGAAGACCCAGCCACGACCGATCTTCAATGCTCTTACTGAGGGAAGGAGGTTGTTGGCCAAGATCTCGGGATACATGGCCCCATCCATCCTCCCCTCAATACGGTGCAGTCGTCCTGTCCCCTTTGCAGAAAAGCATCCCCAAAGAATGATGTTTCCACCTCCATGCTTCATGGTTGGGATGGTGTTCTTGGGGTTGTACTCATCCTTCTTATTCCTCCAAACACGGCGAGTGGAGTTTAGTCCAAAAAGCTCTATTTTTGTCTCATCAGACCACATGACCTTCTCCCATTCCTCCTCTGGATCATCCAGATGGTCATTGGCAAACTTCAGACGGGCCTGGACATGCGCTGGCTTGAGCAGGGGGACCTTGCGTGCGCTGCAGGATTTTAATCCATGACGGCGTAGTGTGTTACTAATGGTTTTCTTTGAGACTGTGGTCCCAGCTCTCTTCAGGTCATTGACCATGTCCTGCCGTGTAGTTCTGGGCTGATCCCTCACCTTCCTCATGATCATTGATGCCCCACGAGGTGAGATCTTGCATGGAGCCCCAGACCGAGGGTGAGTGACCGTCATCTTGAACTTCTTCCATTTTCTAATAATTGCGCCAACAGTTGTTGCCTTCTCACCAAGCTGGTTGCCTATTGTCTTGTAGCCCATCCCAGCCTTGTACAGGTCTACAATTTTATCCCTGATGTGTTTACACAGCTCTCTGGTCTTGGCCATTGTGGAGAGGTTGGAGTCTGTTTGATTGAGTGTGTGGACAGGTGTCTTTTATACAGGTAACCTGTTCAAACAGGTGCAGTTAATACAGGTAATGAGTGGAGAACAGGAGGGCTTCTTAAAGAAAAACTAACAGGTCTGTGAGAGTCGGAATTCTTACTGGTTGGTAGGTGATCAAATACTTATGTCATGCAATAAAATGCAAATGAATTACTTAAAAATCATACAATGTGATTTTCTGGATTTTTGTTTTAGATTCCGTCTCTCACAGTTGAAGTGTACCTATAATAAAAATTACAGATCTCTACATGCTTTGTAAGTAGGAAAACCTGCAAAATCGGCAGTGTATCAAATACTTGTTCTCCCCACTGTATGTGTGTTTGTGTAGCCTGGTTGAATGTCTTTTTAGCTAACATTCCATTTTAGCTAATATTCCAATCCTTGTACTCCGTGTCATATGCCAATGACAGATGACACAGAATACAAGGAGTGGAATTTTAGCTAAAAAGACTGGCAGCCAGGCTAGTGTTTGTGCGTACCTCGAATCCAAATTGGACAATTTACTGTTCATAGCTTGTTCATGCCACTATCTCCCCTCTCTACAGATTGGCTCGTGTGGGGAAGGTGGGCCCAGTGATTGGTCAGTATGTGGACAGCCAGTGGTCATTGGCCAGTTTCACCGTTCCAGCAGAGTGTGCCTGTATCTGTGCGTTTGGGAAGAACACCTCCAAAAACGTCAACTCTGTCATCGGTCAGTCCTCTAAGCAACTAGACAGCAATGTCTCATATCTACCAATCAATATAGTTATCGTCCTACATGTAGCTAGAAAATTAATTGTACTGTGGGAATGAACGATATACAACATATTTAATTTATACAATAAAGCCGTGCAGTGTAAAATTGTAATAATAGTTTTAAACGTGTCCTTTTCTCTGCATTCCTCCCTTTTCTAGCTATCTGTGTTGACGGGACGTTCCATAAATACGTGTTCACCCCTGATGGCAACTGTAACCGAGAAGCCTTTGACGTTTACCTGGACATCTGTGATGATGACGACTTCTAAGAGGATGGAGAGAGGGAAGAAGGGAGGGAGGAGAGAGAGAGAGAGGGTAGGGGAGTAGAGACCTGGTGATAATGTAAATAAGGATGGTGATGATAATAGAGGGACATGGTAGGTTGGATCTAGAATCAGACAGAGGTGAAGCCAATGAAGCAGAGATGTTGTACAGAACAAAATACAGGTGGTCTGAAAAGGTCTGTTTTACATGATTGTCTCGTGTTTTTATTGTAACCAAGTGTATTTTAAAATGTATGAAGATTAAAAACATTTTTACTATGACTACTGGCTTGTCTGTGGTCCCTTTGAGTTAACTGTGAATAAATCCGACCTGTCAAATACAGAGTGCAATTAATATTATAGGAAAATAATAAACAAGTGATGCGAATATTGAAAGGGCGTTCATTGGTTTCGATCTGGGGACACGTCAACCCCTCGTGACTGCCATATTGAGCAACAGCGGATGTTCTTGGTTAGGACAAGATTGTATCAAGCTAGTTAACGTTAGCTGGTGAGGCTTTTCACTTTCACTTCTTGAAAAATAACAAGTGATCCCGGCAAACTGAAATCAAGGGACTAAATTGTTCAATTTGTCCTTGTGCCGTATTATCGCCGTTTGACTATTGAACAGGTAACGTTAACTGGTCCACACATTTTTTCTTACACTAGCTAGCTCGCTAACGTTAGAACAGTGTTTGTTGGTTTTCTGTGACAGTCCATATAGCTAGCTAGCTAGTATTTTGATGACGAATAAGTAAAGTTAGCAAAATATTAGTCGTATATCGGCGTACTTGGTTGACATCAATCAACATGAGCCGTTAGCCTAGCTGTTTGACAGTTCTTGATAGTCGGCAGTGCAGCGTGACCAGTCAGCAGATGGCTAGTTAGCATACGCTACACTGCCTGCTAGCCAGAAGAGATTACGACCCTATGCTTGCTACACTCGCACTGGGGTCGGACAGGCTTCCTGTTTAGATTAAGACACCGCGGAGCCGGTGCGAGATATGGCTCAGAAAACGTACCTCAATCCAGGGCTGAGAATGCGTTATACTCCGAATTGTCTCATTATCCCAACTATTCCACTGAGAAGATTGAACGACTAATAGTTTTCTCGGATAACTGTCCTTGTCATGCTAGGTAGCAGAAGCCATTTAGGGAACATCCGTGTAAGCCAATCAGCTCCTTTGTTGTTCAACGCAACATGCCATTTCGTAATGGCTGCTGTGGCTACTGCTAGTTAGCATGAGGAAAAACTGCAGTTTACTTAAAAACTAGCAGTTGTTACGGTGTAAGTTGGGATAATGGGACAATTTGGAGTAAAACGCATTTCTCATCCCCGTACGTTTTCGGAGCCATATATTACTCGGGCTCCGCTGTGTCTTAATCTAAACTGGAAGTCTGTCTGACCCTAGCCCAATTGTGGACTAAAATAGGATTATGTTACTCCTTACAGTCCAAAGACTTTACAATTTCTGTTTGGAGGTGAATTGGCATTGGCAGCCAAATACTCCAGCTAAATGTGAATCAGTTCTCAATTGCGGTATGGTTCTGGAAACATAAAGCCCTCTACTTTCATATCACAGCAAAATAATTTCACAAATGCAAAATATACACTTACTGTACACTGTTTTAAGCGGATTTAACACAGTTGCCGCCAACAGTATTTTTCAGTGACAACATGTCAGTCTTTCATTTAAACACAGGTGTTTGGAGACACAGATGCCAAATTAGCACAGGTATGCCTCTGTCTAAAGGCTGTTTTCCGTAAACAAACGCTTTAACCTCTACGGGATCGGTGTCCCGTATACGGGACGGTTGAGCTAAAGTGTGCTAATGTGATTAGCATTACTGTTGTAAGTAACAGCAAACCTTCCAGGACATAGACATGTCTTATATGGGCAGAAAGCTTAAATTATTGTTCATCTAACTGCACTGTCCAATTTACAGTAGATATTACAGCGATAAAATACCATGCTATTGTTTGAGGAGAGTGCACAACAACAAAAAACTTAACACCGCAACTGGTTTGATACATTCACCTCTGAAGGTAAATAATGTACTTACATTCAGTAATCTTGCTCTGATTTGTCATCCTGAGGGTCCCAGAGATAAAATGTAGCATAGTTTTGTTTGATAAAATCAATTTTATATTCAAATGTAGGAACTGGGTTCTACAGTTTGAACCCTTGCTGTCTCTGGCTCCACACCCACCCCGCCCGGCCATCTAGATGTGTGAAAGTTGGTGTATAAGCAAATTATCCATCATGTATGACATTGCTGGGAGTGTGTAAACTTACATTTTGTATTACCATATCAGTTTTGTATGTTCTCTACATAGTTATGTACTTGAAAATGTATAAATTGACCAATACGGCACATTTGAGCAAACTTAATAGTCCAGTATTGCAATGCTTCACTGGATCAATCTGAAACTTTCAACACACATTGCTGCCATCTAGTGTCCAAAATCTACATTGTGCCTAAACTGCAATATTATATTGTGGCCTTTCTCTTGCATTTCAAAGATGATGGAACAAAAAATTAATAGAAAACTTGTTTTTTTGTTTGTATTATCTTTTACCAGATCTAATGTGTTATATTATGAATTTCACATTTCCACAAACTTCAAAGTGTTTCCTTTCAAATGGTATCAATAATATGCATATCCTTGCTTCAGGTCCTGAGCTACAGGCAGTTAGATTTGGGTATGTCATTTTAGGCGGAAAAAAAAAAAAAAAGTTTCTTATCCTTAAGAGGTTAACATGGAAATATGGCTGTGTAGGAACCCTAACCCTATAGACGGGTTGGTTGTTTCGCAACAAAACCGACATGTGCACAACCATGGGGCAAAACAGACGGGCTTGGCATAGATTGATGAACATGTAAGCTATATTTCGTCTCCAATGTTTATTGAAAACATAAATACATTTGCAAAATGAGCACTTGTTGTCTCTCAAATACCTCGTTACAGTTGTTGGTTAGCTAACTAGCGAATTTGTGCCATATTAGCATGGACGTGGCATCAGTCAAAACGCCTCAAAACAAGACCTGGTATCAAGAACAAGATAAAACTAGCTCAAACGAGCCACCTACGATTCCCCACATGGCAACTTCTTGGCATTGTATCTAGCTATCTTGCCGTCCAGAATCACATCACACCGCCTTCTGCCGCCGCATAAAAGCGTCAATCGTTTTTGTGACGTCAGCTAACCAGTCTATAAAGGTGTGTAGTAATGTAACTTTTTTTACAAATATTATTTCTCGCTGATATGAGACACGTTCCTTATGTTTTTAACGTTCAGAACGAGCCTGTCGTTTCCAATGGAAGCAAATTAATCATAGTGGGCAGAATAAGCAAGGAGGTAGTGTCGTGGAAATTCTAATCAATAATGAGGAGAGACAAGGTCAACCACCAATCAGGATATATTACAAAACCCATTAATAAGGTAGTAAGTGAGGCTGGTCGAGAGCTCTGACATACAGACAATACACATATCATTTATAGCAAATATACACTCTCTCAGTCTACATGACAAACAGCAGATGTGTGGAATGAGTCAAAAGGTTAGGATTTGAATGAAAGAAATGAATAATTCACAGCAGACAATATCTGCGGTGAAGACTGTTCTTATTGTATGAAACCCAGAGTTTGGCACTTAAGACAAGGTTCTTATCAACTATTCATAACAGATCTTGTCCCTGGTACCTTACAGACACCAATTCAGTCTATGAAAATGCAGGCTCAGTCAGACCGGAGATTCTCCCTTTCACACACCACTAATCATAGAATGAAATGTGGCTGTTGGTTTTATCACCTAGCCATCCCTAAATCAATTGTCAGCTCCAGATACCCATATCTCGAGGAAAACCCATGTCCTTGACAACACGCCTAGACTAGCTGCAGGGAGCTGGAGTAGAAACCATCCCTTTACAAAAACACAGCATTAGTAGAACAGTATATAATTGTTAACTATTAATATTAAACAAAGCAGGTAAACATGTTACATGTACATTTTTCTCTCACATTCCCCTCTCAAGGGACTACTTTCCTTCCAGGAAAAATATGAACAGTAACATGCCAAATCTTACTAACATTTGTTGCAGAATATGAGTTATTAAAAATAAGAAAACAGAGAATCAAAACCCTTCAATGTCAAGTACCTTATTTCCACTGTTTGTTCATTGAGCTTTCAACCTTAACATTATCCTTCATTGGGAATGATATAAACATTAAAATATTGTTTAAGAAATGATCTGCAATCTAAATCGGGATACATTTTTCATCAGTACTAAACAAAGTCATACCCTATACATTAAATTCTTCACTGATATAGTTATTAACATACTATAAACTAACTCAAATCAATTACTCAGTTTCCAAATCATACTAAAACCCAATTAAGAATGACAATGCTTCAGTGATTCACATTAGTTGTATCACTCAAAGTTAAAACCCTCAAATTAGCACACATCGACACTGGCAGAATGTACATTTATATTAACATACAGTATAATTATCCCTAATTCTAGTATTAACTTTCTCATCACGATTTATAATTACAGATCAGTATCTTAATGCATTCTAAATCTAAATTACTAAATTAAATTTAGCAGTGTATAGACCTCCACAATCAACCTGATACCCAAAATAAACAATTTTAGACAAGTCTAAATCAATCATGGGAATAGTTGACCCACCCTTCAGGCACTCATTCTTCTGGCGTCTCTTCATTGTCTTCTTCAGATAGCTTCACAGTTCAAAGTGGATGGCCCATGATAATGTCCCAATTTTAATGTCTGATTTTCCCAAACCGTCTCACCTGAGCCCCACCTCAACACCTATTATGTATTGTCCATTTGCCAACCAGTATACCAGCAACATGACAGAATTTTGGAACTTCACGTGGAATAGGCCGTTGATAGCTTCGATTGGATGCTGTGCACAGGTTGCTGGCTCGGACTCAGGTTTCTCGGTAGAAGTGGTGCAGTACAGGGCCCTTTGAACGCCATTACTTCAACCGGTTATAGGGGGTTTTGAGGTTCACACCGCTCTCGGCCAAATTATCCCTTCCATGCATCTAGATACCATCTGTAATCACCTTCACCATAACCTCGAGAGAGGACAGATCAGAACAACAGTTCATTTCTGATTCAGGAAATCCAGACAAACATTTACTGTATGACCAATTATTACTTTTACCAATATTCTTAATACACATTTCTAAGACAAATGTCAAATAGAATAACAACACATTCTGTTGAATTTTTTTCTCCAAATTTGCTTATACACCCCTATAACACTGTCGACCTCACCGCAGTCACAGGATCAGGAAGTTAGACCCCTAACTCGATCATTCGGGTGAGATTTGTATCGAAACAAAACAGAACAAACACAACAATACACTTCTTCATATATCACTCGATACACTTCTATATATCACTCAAGGTGTGTAAAACTTAAATCCCAGAACCTTCAGAGGACTGGTAATTACCCCATTTTGACACATTACTCAAAATGTGATTAATGTGTAAAAACAACACTACTGGTGAAATAAAAACCAATTTAAAATAACACATCGAATTAGAATCACTACCCTTAATAACACCAGAAGAAACAATTGTACCCATACGGTCATAGACTTAAGACAGCCTACCCTTATTGAAAGGCAACGCCCACTCCTTCTGCCATGGACCGAATCACAAATAGGGCTATGAACTATAAACTTCTTCATAATTATCATTATTACAAATAGCCTTCAAACCAGTACTGGCGTTGCAAGCGCCATGCTCTACCAACTGAGCTACAGGGGACAGTTAACTATTAATATTAAACAAATCAGGTAAACATTTTACATGTTAATTTTTCTCTCACAGTAGGCAGAGCCAAGCATGAGCTAGCGAGATCCTCTTGGCGCGTTCTAGCATGTATTTGCATATTTCCGTTAGGGAACGTCAACTCTGAAGTGTAACTAAATTCGCCCTTTCACTCTTTCTAAACGATGCAATTTTTTTAAAACTTTGGCAAAGGGTAAAGTCTACAAAACTTAGTCCACTCTGTTCGTAACAGATTCTAGTTTTGGGAACAGAAAACTGTATTGAGATCAAATGTTTCATCTATGACAAAATTAGCAGAATGACGGCCAAAATCCACCTCTCTCCATTTTCTCCCACTGCCAGCAACTGGGCTTCCTCTCATCACTATATTTGGTGATTAGTGGAAATGCTAACCGGATGCTTCAGATTTATACATCTGGTGAAACATCTGGCTAAGGTTTCTAGATCGACAGTCTATCGCATTTCAACAAGTTAGCTAACGTTAGATAGCTACATATTTAGCTAGCTGGTATGCTAATTTGCTAACGTTTCTTAGCTAGCTAGCTAACTAGCAAGTCTGTGTCACGTGTAAATAGGTGTGTTATCACAATTAACCCAAAAGCCAGCTGTTTCTTGATGACTGACTTCCAGTTACAAATCTATCCAGTTGACTGTTGTCCCTTCTGCCTTTTCTCAAAAGAATAACGTCAACAGGGAAGGATGGCCTCCCGTAAGAAGGTGCTGCTGAAGGTGATCATCCTCGGAGACTCTGGGTGAGTGACCAGAAGATCATCATGGTGTTTATACAACCAGATGTTACTAATTTTGGATATTGTGTATTAGTCAGGACCTTTCTGGCACATGTAGTTGTGCAGGGCGTCAGCGGTTAAAGCCCTTCTCTGGCTGTTACCCTCAATCGCTACAGTTCTTTATGTGTAGCTAAGTGTGTGTGTGTGTGTGTGTGTGTGTGTCCCAGGGTTGGGAAGACTTCTCTGATGAACCAGTATGTAAATAAGAAGTTCAGCAACCAGTACAAGGCCACTATAGGAGCTGACTTCCTCACCAAGGAGGTGATGGTGGACGACAGGCTGGTCACCATGCAGGTGGGTCTTGTTTGTGTGTGCGTGCTGGTATGTTATTAGCCTAGTCATGAGTGCTGGCTTGTCATAGTGTGTTAAGTCAGAGATTGGGCAACTCATTCTGTGATGAGTCATATGTTTTCATTCTCTCTTTCCCTCTCTTTATTACCTCTTACGCATCTCTCTTCACCTCTCCCACCCTTTCCCTCTCTCTCTTTCCCCCATGTCCTGTAAAGAGTTGTGTTGCAAAAACAGACAACTAAATGCTATCTTATCTTAATCTGTTTCCCCCCTTTCTTACCCTTTCTCTTTTTCCTCCTCACTCCGATCCCCTCTCTCTCTCTCATTTTGTCTCCCTCTCTGTGTAATCACATATAAAAAATGATAGACAAAGCACTAAAATGCCAAAAACATAGTAATCAACATGTCTCTCCCCTTCTCTTCTGTCAGATCTGGGACACTGCAGGGCAGGAGCGGTTCCAGTCTCTGGGCGTGGCGTTCTACCGTGGCGCTGACTGCTGCGTGCTCGTCTATGATGTCACGGCGCCCAACACCTTCAAGACGCTGGACAGCTGGAGGGACGAGTTCCTGATCCAGGCCAGCCCCAGAGACCCAGACAACTTCCCCTTTGTGGTGCTAGGCAACAAGATTGACCTCGAGAACAGACAGGTTGGTGTGTGTCTGTTTGTATCTGTCCATTGGAGAGCCAAAACAGGCAGGTGGTAGGGAGTAGGCAGTACAGTCAGACCTTGGTCAAATGTTTGTTGTGATTGCTACATCCCTTAACCTTTTCATGCGTGAGTTCCAAATATCTCTTAACGGTCGCCCCAGCGTGAGTTATAATTTTTTTATGCGCGTGATGTCAGAATGCACTCACTGTTCCAAAATGTGATTGTTACGCAACAGGACAGTTAACCCACGTTGCCCTCAAACCAAGACACGCTGCCTGCTAATTATCTATAGTCTATGTTTCAACTTGTCAATTTAAAGTTATTTTCTAACAACACTTTGAATTGAGGTGTGTTCTGCCTGCTCATTAATTCACACAGAAGTAGCCCATTTCACAATTTACGTTTGAGGCATTACTGAGCCGGACAAACTTCTCTCTTCGAGAGCCCAAGCACAAACATTTTCCTCCCTGGCACATTTTCTGTCTGGCGCCCGCATTGCGCATTCCTATCAAAGTGAGTGCCTTATTACGTTATCATTGTAGTTTCTGATTCTACTGTAGCACACCGTATGTATGGAGGATAATGTATTTACTGTTTTATTCACGTTTTCAAGTACTGGTGACAAATCATGCATTCCAATTCTTGCATAGATTGTAATGGATACATATGATGTGTGTAAAATACTATTTTGAAGGTTATATCGATTATGATGAGGTAATGCTAAGCTAATTGCCAGCTATGTGTGGTGCCATGTTTGTTGACATGCAATGCATTCTGGTTATCACGTAAACGTTTGTCAGACCAAAGATGTTATAACAAAACAAGGTGAAGAGATGGTTCACTCGTCTTTTGAGTAAACTTCCAGAAGTGAATGAAGGTAAACGGACCCAACTCATCTTGTAACCTCTTATCTTTGGCTAACGCGAAAAACAAACATGGCGGCGCGCACAAACTACCCATCGTCGGAATACTTTTGATTTTTTGAAAGTGTTTTACTCAATTATTTCTATCACTGGTGAGGTCACCCGTGATGTAATGAATTGTAAATAGTAATTGCTATTAGCTCATTCATATTATGGTTTCTGTCAGCCGAGAGTTAGCTAAATATGACCGCTTGTGTTCGGTCACTCTTTCCTCAGTTAGCGCTACGACCAAAATGTTCCCGTTTTGGATGAGAATTGTGTTATGCTGTCGCTACTTCTGTGAATGTCTGAACATTGCATCCAAAAATAAACAGCTCACATTGAGGACATAATGTTGTAAAGACTGTTTGTGCTAAATGTTTCTGTGAAAAAAACTGTGGCCAGCTCAAACAGACTGTTGCGTCAATCGTAACTGGACGTTCTAAATAAGTGTTCTAATCACACCGGTTTGAGCGTACGCTGCAGGGACCACTGTAGAATGATCACACCCATGTGTTCGTACATGTCAAAGGGTTAAAAGGATGTGTATATGCCACAGGTAGTTCCATGTAAAATGAGGAAGTATGTATGACACAATGGTGTTAATAATCTTATGGCGTGTGTTACTGATATGGTGTGTTGTGTAGGTGACGACAAAGCGTGCCCAGGCCTGGTGTGCCAGTAAGAGCAGCATCCCCTACTTTGAGACCAGCGCTAAGGAGGCCATCAACGTAGACCAAGCATTCCAGACCATTGCCCGCAATGCCCTTAAACAGGTACACACACAAAATATAGCCTCAAGCAGCCACAGGTAAAACATGCCCTTACACACCGGTAGGCAGAGTGCCTCCACCTGTTCAGAAACCCCCTTTCTCTCCCTGGCTGGGAAACACCTGTTTGACTGGTTCATTGAGGTTGCTGTGGAACTCATGATGTCATAGTCAAACACTGTGTCATCAGAGGAATATTGGGGGGTAAAATTATTGTACTTGCTGTTTGTGCACACTGTCTGTTTGTGGCTGTGTGTAATCGTGCTCTGTGTGTCTGTAGGAGTCTGAGGTGGAGACGTATGACTTCCCAGAACAGATCAAACTGAGAGACGACCGGCCCTCCTCCTCCAGCGATGGCTGCTCCTGCTGAGACCAACAACGGATGGATGGAGAGGAGAGAGGACCAGGAAGACATGGGGTGCATCTCAATAGTATTCCTTGTCCCCTTTACCTCCTTTGCACTGGTGTGAAAGACTGGGACAGGTGAAGCTAATTCGGAGGCCATCTCCCACATAGCCTTCCCCTGTCCTGTGTTCTCACATCAGTGCAGATGTAGAGGAGTCGAGGGGAGATTGAGATGCACCCCATGGAAAGAGACTGGGGACAACAACCCCAGTCGATGCCCCCCCCATCCTCTCCCCTCAGTCAGCTACAGAAGATTCCAGATGACAAAAAGAAAACACTTATTTTTCTTAACTCCCTGTCTCCGGTGGCGACCTGTCCGAGAGGAAGGAGAGGAGAAAGCCCATCTTGCACAGCATCACTTTTTAATAAGATAGAAGAATCGTTGATACTATGGAAAATACAATCATGATGCTCGTATTATAATGATTTCTAATGATGTTGTCATGTCTTTTGTTCTGGTAGTTTTAAATTTTCCTTGCTATTATACTGAGGTACAGACTGCTCATCTGTCTGTCTGTCTGTGATCCAGGTAGACATTCTCCTTAACTATAGATCTAGGATCAATTACTATTTCCCTCAGAACCTAACCTTAACAATTAGAGGGATTGAAAACGGATCCTGTGTAAGTGTTAAGGAGAAAGTTGTACCTACTCTACTCGCTCTGTGCCTTTCATCTCATGACAAGTATTACTGTGGCAGATATCTATATATACAGTATATATAATGTGTGTTCTTTGTTATTTTTCTGCCTTTCTGCAGTCCTTATGTTGCCAAACTGTGTCAACCCTAGACCTTTTCTTTGACATGTTTATCATTGAACCAGTTCTCTTCCATTTGTTTGTCTGTTTTAAACAGTTGTGTAGAGAGTGCTAAGCTAACCAGATACAGTGAAAGTAAATTTGCAATTAGAATACAGCAGAACAGCAACCCTCTGCAGTGTCAGTTCTGAGTTTAGGTTCTGTTCTCCTTTTATACTGTATTTAGTTATGTACATTTATTGTTTTGTTATCTTATACATGCTACACATTACTATATCCCTGTACATTGGCTGTAAATCCTCGAGTCCCAAGTCAAACCCGAACCCCCTCCTCAAGGCCCCTAATAAATCTAAACAGACCTGATTTGTGTAAGCAGTATAATACTACAATAGTTTCTGTCATATTATTTACACCACTTGTCAGGTCTAGGAAGCTATCTAGAAGTGTCTAGGGAAAGGAGTAGGGTCTCAAGTGTTGATTTGGGATGTCCTCTGCCCTAACAGTAGAGTCCCAGCCCAGACTTGCATTCCACTGTGTCTTAAATCTGCCCATCTACACCATCAACTAGTGTCGCTCTATATTCATGTAACAGAAATGAAAATGTTCTTAAACCAATTAACAAAAATCCTTAGTCCTATCTACGTGATCATTTAGCACAACTCCTACAATTGTCATCTTTTGTTGAATATACTCATTTTCTCCACCGTAAACACAAATAAATGTAGACTTTATGGAAATTCGTCAGTTGTCTTTCTGTAGTTGTATAATTGGACCTGCAGGCCCACTGCTCTAAATGACGTAATTCTAATCTAATGTGACCGCGTTTGCGATGAACTACACTGAGTGTACAAAACATTAGGAACACCTTCATAATATTGAGTTGCACCCCCTTTTGCCCTCAGAACAGCCTCAATTAGTTTGGGCATGGACTCTACATAGTGTCGACAGGGTTGCTGGCCCATGTTGACTCCAATGCATCCCACAGTTGTCAAGTTGGCTGGATGTCCTTTGGGTGGTGGACCATTCTTGATACATATACAGGAAACTGTTGAGCAACCCAGCAGTGTTGAAGTTCTTGACACACTCAAAACATTTATATTTTAGTCATTTAGCAGACGCTCTTATCCAGAGCGACTTACAGTTAGTGAGTGCATACATTTTTCATACTGGCCCCCCATAGGAATCAAACCCACAACCCTGGTGTTGCAAGCGCCATGCTCTACCAACTGAGCTACAGGAGGCCTACCAGTGCGCCTGGCACCTACTACCATACCCCGTTCAAAGGCACTTAAATAATTTGTCTCGCCAATTCACCCTCTGAATGGCACACACACAATCCATGTCTCAAGGCTTAGAAATCCTTCTTTAACCTGTCTACTCTGATTTGAAGTGGATGACTAGGTGTGCCCTTGAGCAAGGCACTTAACCCTAATTGCTCCTGTAAGTCGCTCTGGATAAGAGCGTCTGCTAAATGACTAAAATGTAAATGTTTAACAAGTGACATCAATAAGGGATCATAACTTTCACCTGGATTCACCTGGTCAGTCTATGTCATGGAAAGAGCAGGTGTTCCTAATGTTTTGTACGTCACACTATCTGACGTAAGACAATGTAATTTGGAAAAATGTTTATTCCACAATACAACCAAATTAATACATAGTCAAATGTAAACAAAGAAATAGTCTATCCATACGCCACCGAAATAAGGCAATTCCCATGTGTCTAAATAAATAGCACGGGTACTATTGCAATCCCGGTGTTTCTGGTTCCAGTTCCCTTATTTGAATAGGATGATTGAAATTGGGACACGTGTGTCCCTCTTTACTGGGGATCACAGCAGCTCCTCCTGGGTTTCTCTTATTTCCCTCTGGTTATCATGTCATTGTAGAGCAGAAGGTGTATGTTTGTGTGGTCACCGAGTGACAGGGGGTCCAAAGGCCTCCATGGTCTCCATCACAAGGGAGAGGTGGTCCATAAACGACCCAACAGAGACACGCAGAATACGGGCCTCATCGGCTCTCCACCTCCTGATGGAAAGAGGGATGGAGGAGATAAAGGAGAAAGAAGAGTTGAGGGAGAGAGATTCACATGACCGATCAGTATGATACAACTCAACAATCTTGTATACAGTAGTACCACCATACACACATACACCTTCTTCTGTGGATTTTATATGGCGGTTGGCAACCAACTTTAAGGTGCATTAGCGCCACCAACTGGACTGGAGTGTGCACCAGAGACAGTGAATGTCTAAATCCTAACCAATAATCTCTACTCCTAAGGAAACTAAATACATAAATAAATACTACATCCCCTGAAGATTTCCCCAGCAGTTCACTTAATACTGGCTCTTCAACCCCATTACTCTTCAAATCTAATAACAATCGCTCCCTTTCTCTCACATATTTCTGGCACTGAAATAGAACAGGTTCCACTGTCTCCATCTCCTCCTGACAATGATCACACCTCCCAGTCAGATGTTTCCCCACCAATTTCAATGTACTATTGAGCCTTGTGTGTCCCAATCTCAGCCTTGTGACTACACTTTCCTCCCTCCTCTCTCGACCTGAGGACCTCCCTGCCCCCACCCTTTCCTGGATCTTATACAGGTGTCTTCCCTTTCTCTCCCTGTTCCACAACTCTTGCGATTTGTTTCTAACCACTGTTCTTATTAACCCCCTGGCTTCTGCTTTACTGATTTGACAATTCCATCTCAACATTAGGATGTTTAAGAGCCTGCTTGGCGATAACATCCACCTCCTCATTCCCCTCTACTCCCACATGAGCTGGTACCCAGAGGAACATCACAAATACCCCCATCTGTCTCACCCCATACAAGCACTGCAAAACCTCATACAATACATCATGTCTGCTCTGAGACACACATGAATTTAAGCTCATCAGTGCTGCACAGGAGTCAGAGCAGATGACTTCCCTGTCTGGCCTCACCACCTCCACCCACTCTGCAGCCGATAGTATGGCCATCAACTCCATTGTGTAAACAGATAGATTATCCGTTGCTCTTTCATCACTGCCACCTTAAACTCAGGAACACTAAAAGTTGCTCCTGTCCTCCTGTAGCTCAGCTGGTAGAGCACGGCGCTTGTAACGCCAAGGTAGTGGGTTCGATCCCCGGGACCACCCATACACAAAAATGTATGCACGCATGACTGTAAGTCGCTTTGGATAAAAGCGTCTGCTAAATGGCATATTATTATTATTATTATTAGATCCATCTGAATATATTCAAGAAAGCATAGTATTGTGTTCTTAAATGTTCACTTACAACTTCATCTACTCCTTCCTCAACATCTCTTACCCTCTCAAGCAACCCTAGATCTATCACTGGCTGAGGGAGAAACCAAGGTTGGATAGCAGGAAGAGCAACAGAGGGGCTAAACTCCCTCCTAAACAGTCCCATCTCTCTCGCCATGCAATTGCCTATCCACCCAAAGCTTGTATTGAGATTCCATTCATGTTCCCAGCGCTCTAGGAGCACCTTTTTTGTAGGATGTGTAACCTTATGTCCTTGTAGATTTACCCAATATGTCATGGCTAGCTGTTGTCTTCTTAACTTAAATGGCATCTCTACCTCCATCGCTGCCACCGGGGAGGTCCTGATTGCTCCACAACATATTCTTAGGGCTTGGGCCTGGATTAAATCTAGCCTTTTTAAAGATGTCTGAGCTGCTGATCCATATGCTATACTTCCATAATCCATTGATGACCTTAACAGCTCTTTATATCATTTTCAATGCCATTCTATCTGCCCCCCACTCCATTCCTGACAAGCAACGCATCACATTCAATATTTTATTTCCTTTGACAACTACTCTGTTAATATGCCCATGTCATTCGAGTGTCAAACCAAACCCCCAGGAACCTAAACCCTCCCCACCCTCCAGATTCCTTCCATACAACTTCAAGTATATTTCCTCCTCAATCTTCCTTCTAGAAAAAAACACAGTCTGTGTTTTCTCAACTGAAAACTTGAAGCCCCACCTAAGGCACCACTTCTGGCTGTATGGGTAGTATCTATCCAGCTCTTCCACATCGCTCCATCATCCGCTAACAATGACCTCCCAATAAAGAGTTCCTTTATCCAGTTAAAAACCCTTCCTCCAACCCCCATGTTATCCAGCTTGATAAGTAGACCTTCCTTCCACATCATAAGCCTTCTCTACATGAAAGAAAACGGCTACCACCACCTCCTTATTTGCCTGTGCCTTCCGTATGACTGACTCAAGACACAGTGCAGGATCCATCGTTCCCCTGCCTTTCCTGAACCCACTTTGATCTTGTGACATTAGTCCTCTACTCTCCAGAGAGTACGTCAGTCTTTCCGTTATCATCCTTTCCATATGATTACATACGTGACATGTCAACGCTATCGGCCTATAGCTTGAAGTACTAGTAGGGTATTTCCCAGGTTTCCGTACACACTTACATCATAAATTACACTAGGTGGTAGTACACGCGCACACACAGCAGACACTCACACAGACAGCGTGCTGCCGGACACCGTGAGTTCCTTGCTGATGCCTCCTTTCCGGAGCTCGCGGTCTGGGGAGAGGGACTGGAGTGCGATGGACGCCTCGAGACTAGATGGGAACGGGACGTCTAGTGCACTGAGGGACTGTCAAGGAAGTTTTCACTCTGTTTCATGCTAAATTATCAAAATATGCATACAACGTTGAAGAGGCAATATACGATCAAGCGTTGTTAATGTAAATAAACGTTATATTGACGTTTTATGTGGAGTACATAGGATACAATTCCAATTTGCCTTGCTTGTGATTGTTTTCCGTGCAGGGCGCCGCCATGATGGTTGTTCTTCTAAGTAAATCTAGTTGTGGAGACCACAGATTCGCCTGAATGCAACAAATATAGATTTACAATCTGATGTGGAGATTCGCCGCGGTTGATGAATAAAGTTGTTTTTACATATAAACAAGTAACATGGATTTGCCCACATAAAAAAAATCAAAAAGGTGTTAACAATCTTATTAGCAAAAGGCCTATTCAACATATTGAGCTTGACAGATCTCAGGCAAAACATGTGAATCCAATGCATTAAGATGTTGTTAAGGATACTATTTAATTGATGTAAATTAATCGTCCATACATTTATGTAAAACAATATATCAAAACTTGTATGCCAATGGCCGCGCGCGCCCTGCTCCGCGTATGGCGATATTGGCTACTCTAGAAATTGTCATTTGAGCGATCGGTTCTTCACTCGAGCGCAACCGGCAAAGGGCGAGAACGTGTCTGGTTGGTATCTGTCTCTCTTCATGATCTGAAGTGTCTTTTTACACCTTTAAAACTTCCGTTTTAATTCACATTCGTCGCAGTCTCCTTTCGAATAGCCTATCATGTTTGCTTTTCACACCAGCTATAAATCAATTGACACATGATGAGTTTGTGAATGCAGCATTAGCAGTCGGTACGAGCTTCTTCTTCACTTACACCCAGACAAGAGCTTGGACAGGTAGGACAAAATGTTTTACTTCATCAAATGTATTTTTACTGCATAAACTCGACATTCCCAAATTATCAGCAAGTGGTTTATGTGTGTTTCTATATTTCTGTTTTATTGTAACCTGTATATGCATATGGTTATTGTATTTCACTATGATTATGGGATTAAGCAGGCAATAATTAATTTTGCATTTGGTGGAGATGTCCCCAAAACTCACTAGTGAAACTCTTTATTCCCCATTCCTGTGTGTGTGCCTCTGTCTGCCTGCCTGTCCTCCTGCATGAAATGTGCATGCTGTATGTGTGTATATCAGGGCTATGGGTACTCTGAGGGACTTGCAGTTTGCACTGCAGCTGAAGATTGAGGAGCTCCGCCAGAGAGACGGTCTGATAGATGAGCTGGAGTTGGAGCTGGACACTAAAGATGACCTCATCAGACAGCTGCAGACAGAACTGGACCGCCATCGCAACGCTCCACAACACACAGGGACCACTGGGAGCACAGAGAACACAGGTAGGTACCTAACTAGTCATTACACCTTAAGTAGCATTACCATGCACCTCTAATACAACACAGACCTATGGGAAACGGAAAACAACACAGGGTACCAAACCAGTCATAACGCTCCTGGGGGTGTTCAGTGAATTCAAGGGTAGTTGGGCATGAACCTGTGAGCCATCACTCTCAAGGCTAATGTGACAGATTGGGGTTGAACGCAGTCTCCTGCCTGCCACAAGACTGTGTTAGCTCCCTGAGGTAAAGCCTAACCAAAATGGGTGTCTGTCAGGACCCGGGCTGTCCCCACCAGTGCCTGATGAGCCGCAGAGGACTAAGAGACAGGCAATATCAGCAGAACCCACAGCCCTGGACCCTGCCCAACTCACACACGTCACACTTACCAACTACAGCAAGAGTGAAGAGTGAGTACATACAGACACACACACACACCCACACACACACACAAAGACACTGACCCAGTCTCTTTACATGTGCACAGGTCTAGAGAGCTGATCCATAGAGCTCTGTTGGAGAATGAATTCATGAAACACCTGGAGCAGGAACAGGTACTAATATTGCTACGACTGTATAGTATTACTGTGGTACCACTGGTACTCTCACTGTCTGTTCCTGTTCATTTATTTCTCTCCCCTCTCTCTCTCTCTCTCTCTCTCTCTCTCTCTCTCTCTCTCTCCTCTCTCTCTCTCTCTCTCTCTCTCTCTCTCTCTCTCTCTCTCTCTCTCTCTCTCTCTCTCTCTCTCTCTCTCTCTCTCTCTCTCTCTCTCTCTCCTTCTCTCTCTCTCTCTCTCTCTCTCTCTCTCTCCCTCTCTCTCTCTGTGTAGATTCAGACCATAGTTGACTGTATGCATCCCACTTGTCTGGCCCGGGGCTGCTGTGTCATACAGGAGGGAGACGACGGATCTCTGGTCTATGTACTGGAGGGTGAGAGGCATTGAGGGAGATGGAAGGATGTGGAGGGGGAGGTAGGGAGAGATGGAGCGTAAGAGAGGTGGGAAAATTGGCAAATGAAGAGGGATAGAGAGAAGAGGAAGGGCGGGCGGGTGAGAGAGAAGGGGAAGAGGTGGGGAGAGAGGGTGAAAGATGGAGGGAGGGTGAGAGATGGAGGGAGGGAGGGTGAGAGAGGGAGGGTGAGAGAGAGGAAGGGAATAGGGAAGTAGAGAGGTGAGAAGGTATGATAGTCTAGGCGAAAAGGGAGGCAAGGGAGGGACAGATAATACCACAGATAGAACAATGAGACAGATATTTCACCGGATGTATAAATGTGAAGCATCCGGTTGGCGTTTTCACTCACTACCAAAAGCCCAGTGGCTGGCAGTGGGAGATGATGGAACAAGATGGATTTTGGCCGACATTCTGCTAATTTACTTATCGATCAAACATTTGATCTCAATACAGTTTTTTGTTCCCAAAACTACAATTTGTTACAAACAGAGTGGACTACGTTTTGTAGACTTTACCCTTTGCCAAAGTTTCCAAAAATTGCATTGTTTTGAAGGTGTGCAAAGGCTAATTCAGTTACTGCACACACGCACTTCACAGAGTAGGCGTACCCCAACGGAAATATGCAAATGACTGCTAGAACGCACCAATAGGATCTCACTATCTCATGCTTGGCTCTGCCCACCTCCTTGCTTGTTCTGCCCACTATAGGTCATTTGTTCCCATTTGAAACGACAGGCTATGGTCTATCTTGGTTTAGTTATACAAACCTTTGATGATACTGTAGATCAGGTGATATCATACAGTGAGCTCACTGTAGCAGAGGCAGACAGGTCACACACACACACACTTCTTGCTCTCTCAGGCGCTCTGAGACATCTGTTCCTGTCACCTCGACTCCTCTCCTCTTAAAAATATCTGTTAATCTGTCCTTTGTCTCTCTCTGTTTCTCATTCACACACACACACACACACACACACACACAGACACACACACACACACACACACACAATTAGACCATGTTGATTATACAGTCCATTCACTTCGGTAAACATCCATCAAGAGAGTGTGGGTGTATTACCATGAAGAGATGATTCATATTAATGCATGCCTTTAAGTGTGAATGAGTGGGGAGTTGGGGAGTTCGGGCAGGTTTGATGATGTAATGTTGGTTATGTGCGTGCCTGAGTGTGTGTGTGTGTGTGTGTGCGGTTGTGCGTGTGTGTGCGTGCGGGTGTGTAGAGGGGAAGGTGGAGGTGACTAAAGGGGAACAGAAGCTGTGCACCATCGATCCTGGGAAGGTCTTTGGAGAACTGGCCATCCTCTACAACTGTACAAGGACTGCTACTGTTACAGGTAACACACTCACATCACTGCTATTTTAGGTAGGACACTGTAGCTCAGTTGGTAGAGCATGGCGCTTGCAACGCCAGGGTTGTGGGTTCGTTTCCCACGGGGGGCCAGTATGAAAAATGTATGCACTCACTAACTGTAAGTCGCTCTGGATAAGAGCGTCTGCTAAAATGACTAAAAATGTAAAAATGACACACATACACTTATTTGATTGAGTTCAGGATTAGGAATTGTTTTTGTAATCTGTTCATCCTCCTCTCTGCCACTAATGATTAGTCTGATGGATTGAGGTGAGATTTGGTGTCAGACTAATGTGTGTGTGTGTGTGTCTGTGTGTGTGTATGAATGTGTTGAGGCTAAGTGATTGGGGTGAGGCGTGGTGTCAGATCTACGCTGTGCTAAAAGTATTTATTTAATTTCAGCAGAGAGGTACCGTAATAATTGAAAATCCTCCCACGGGTCATTTTCAGACACACACACACACACACACACTGTACGTGGTTACAGTCTGATTTGGGCTGTAATATGCCAGTCCTGTCAGTAGGCTGTCTGCCTGTCTTCTTGTGTTTATGCATTCTCATTGGTGTGTGTGTGTGCGTGAGTAGGTGACAGCCTCCACAGTTCACAAATCATTCCTTTTACAAAGAATAAAGAATACTTGGTGCTATTCATCCTTCTACTCTTCTACTCTTCTTCTCTTCTTGTCTCTCTCTCTCTCTGAGTGGTGAAGTGTCTACTGTACAATGAAATTCAGGGTCAGGTAGTTATTGGTCTGCTGAGAGAGGGAGAGAGAGGGAGGTGAATAGGAAAAGAAACAACTCCTTTGGCTGCTTTCTCAGTCCCTCTCCTTTAGCATCTCTCCCTTGTCCTTTCCTCTCCTCTATCCTCTCTTCTTTCCACACCTGCAAGTCTTTTTATTTTACCACGTGTCGACAGCGTTCAGTTTGGCCCTTCATTCTTCCTTGTCTCTGTCTCTCTCCATCACCAGAGTTGATTGACAGGTAGTGAACATGTGTGATGTGGGCGGGGGGGAGGTGAGGACAGGGTCTGTGAGGGGTGGGAGGAGGATGTGAGAAAAAAGGGGCATGTCTATATAATTACCCTCTTATTAGAATAGAGAGAAACAACGCGTGTGTGCAAGTGCCATTTTGTGTGTGTGTGTAATAGCAGATAATTAGAGTGGGATGTGAAGGATGTTTAATTATCACAAGGCTCTCATATCTAAAAGGAGAACTGTTGAGATAATGGCATTTCCTATCAACTGCTATGTGTACTGTGCTGCTAAATGTTGTTGCACATGTGACTGTGTGTGTACTTTTGTAAGTATGTTATTGTGTGTGTATGTATTTGCATAAAGACAGTATGTGTGAGTGTATGTGTTGTTGTTGATCTTACAGTGTGGGCAGCAGAGAGAGAGAGAGGAGAGAGAGAGAGAGAGAGAGAGAGAGAGAGAGAGAGAGAGAGAGAGAGAGCTAGACGCTAGCGCTCGAGAGATGCATCTCTGCAGATGACTCGGCGAGCGAAGAATCGCTCACTCGCTCTCTCCTCTATAGCTCGTCCTCTGCTTCTTCCTCATCTCTCTCTGCTCGCGCAATCTCTAGCCTAGAGAGAAACCTTGAAACTGTGCCATGCTCATTCCTTTAGCAACCACTCACACGCATGCACACACTCCAGGGCCTGCATCTCTGATTGTTTGTGTATGTAAGGCTTTCATTGACATTCCCTCTACTGGCTACATGCCACAGGATTGAATCATATTATCATCTTTTTTTGTGTGTTGAATGGGATGGGGAGTGTTCATGAGAGCAACAGGTGCGCGAATATGGAGGCTTTGAAATTCATTGAAATTGGCGTACTCTTCTGTCTCCCCTCTCCACTTCCTCATATCTCTCTCTGCCCCTCTTTCTTTCTTTCTCTCTTTCTCATCTCTCCATATCTCCCTTCAGCTCTGACTGAAATTAAGCTGTGGGCAATAGACAGACAGGGTTTCCAGACCATCATGATGAGGACTGGACTCATCAAACACTCCCAGTATATGGAGTTCCTCCGCAGGTAACACACACAGCTAACACACACACACAAGCATGCACGCACGCACACACACACATGCACGGTTAGCTTCTGCTTCAAACACACAGTTTATTATGCAGCTATGCAGACTTCTATGAGCCTAGTTGAATAGACAGATGATTAGGATTCAGTAGCCACAGAACACAGAATGTTTGCTAGCTTCTGTCACGTCTAGGGTTGCAAAGCTACAAGTAATTTACCAAAGTTACCGGAATCTTCTGCCATTTTGGTAATTAACAGGTAATCTATGGCAATCTATGGTAACTTTGGTAATTTATACTCAAATAACTTTTAAAATGTTTAATTGTATATAGTATTAATTTTTGATATCTGTGTCCATATTGTCCATGAGTTTCTAGTGGATAGACCATGTGGTTCAAAAGAAAACAGCCTAATTAATAAGAAAAGCATCTAATCAACAATGGCATTATTTTCAATTAACTCTGCAACTCTTTCAACTATTGACTTTTTACAACTGCCACCAGTTTGGCGCAATTTTTTTTACAACAAAGACATATTTACATTGTAAAACAAGGCAACAGTAAACATGTCATCCCACACGAATGATGACTAACAAATTACTATAGCTCCCCCCTTGGGTCAATCAGTGTAATTTTGTATATGCCGGATCTCTATGGCAAGACGCATCATTCGCCCAAGTTTCGTCAAAATTGGCCCAGTGCTGTCTGAGATATCGCGTGTGACTAACGTATGAGCGGATGGACGGACGGAGACAGATCCACATTCCTCTCCACGATTTCATCTGAGGGACAATAAAGTGCTGAAACTCTCATTATAAATGGTATTCACTAAGTTAATGGTTTATATTTAGGATAATTTATTACAGCTTCGTCATTCTATTTTTTATTTTGAAATCATCTTATTTTATTATTTTATATATTTTTACATGTGATAAATCCACGCAGAGGGCCAGAGATAATTACAGACACCTATGCTAATCTGAAGTACCCAAAAGGGCCACTAGATGTATTGTGATAAATTACGTAAAATTCTTGAAAGTTACCAAAATTCTGGTAGTTTACTGGTAAACTTAGAACATTTCAAGTAATATACCCTCCCTTTGCAACCCTAGTCACATACAGTGAGGGAAAAAAGTATTTGATCCCCTGCTGATTTTGTACGTTTGCCCACTGACAAAGAAATGATCAGTCTAAAATTTTAATGGTAGGTTTATTTGAACAGTGATAGACAGAATAACAAACAAACAAATCCTGAAAAACGCATGTCAAAAATGATATGAATTGATTTGCATTTTAATGAGGGAAATAAGTATTTGACCCCTCTGCAAAACATGACTTAGTACTTGGTGGCAAAACCCTTGTTTAAAATCACAGAGGTCAGATGTTTCTTGTAGTTGGCCACCAGGTTTGCACACATCTCAGGAGGGATTCTGTCCCACTCCTCTTTGCAGATCTTCTCTAAGTCATTAAGGTTTCGAGGCTGACGTTTGGCAACTCGAACCTTCAGCTCCCTCCACAGATTTGCTATGGGATTAAGGTCTGGAGACAGGCCACTCCAGGACCTTAATGTGCTTCTTCTTGAGCCACTCCTTTGTTGCCTTGGCCGTGTGTTTTGGGTCATTGTCATGCTGGAATACTCCTCCATGACCCATTTTCAATGCCCTGGCTGAGGGAAGGAGGTTCTCACCCAAGATTTGACGGTACATGGCCCCGTCCATCGTCCCTTTGATGCGGTGAAGTTGTCCTGTCCCCTTAGCAGAAAAACACCCCCAAAGCATAATAGTTCCACCTCCATGTTCGACGGTGGGGAGGGTGTTCTTGGGGTCATAGGCAGCATCCCTCCTCCTCCAAACACGCCGAGTTGAGTTGATTCCAAAGAGCTCCATTTTGGTCTCATCTGACCAAAACAATTTCACCCAGTTCTCCTCTGAATCATTCAGATGTTCATTGGCAAACTTCAGACGGGCATGTATATGTGCTTTCTTGAGCAGGGGGACCATGCGGGCGCTGCAGGATTTCAGTCCTTCACAGCGTAGTGTGTTACCAATTGTTTTCTTGGTGACAATGGTCCCAGCTGCCTTGAGATCATTGACAAGATCCTCCCGTGTAGTTCTGGGCTGATTCCTCACCGTTCTCATGATCATTGCAACTCCACGAGGTGAGATCTTGCATGGAGCCCCAGGCCGAGGAAGATTGACAGTTATTTTGTGTTTCTTCCATTTGCAAATGATCGCACCAACTGTTGTCACCTTCTCACCAAGCTGCTTGGCGATGGTCTTGTAGCCCATTCCAGCCTTGTGTAGGTCTACAATCTTGTCCCTGACATCCTTGGAGAGCTCTTTGGTCTTGGCTATGGTGGAGAGTTTGGAATCTGATTGATTGATTGCTTCTGTGGACAGGTGTATTTTATACAGGTAACAAGATTAGATTAGAAGCACTCCCTTTAATAGTGTGCTCCTAATCTCAGCTCATTACCTGTATAAAAGACACCTGGGAGGCAGAAATCTTTCTGATTGAGAGGGGGTCAAATACTTATTTCCCTCATTAAAATGCAAATCAATTTATAACATTTTTGACATGCATTTTTCTGGATTATTTTGTTGATATTCTGTCTCTCACTGTTCAAATAAACCTACCATTAAAATTATAGACTGATCATGTCTTTGTCAGTGGGCAAACGTACAAAATCAACAGGGGATCAAATACTTTTTTCCCTCACTGTATTTTCACATTCTTATTCACACAATTGATTTGAGATTGATCTTGTTCTCTTTCTCTCTTTGTCAGTGTTCCCTCCTTTCAGTCGTTGCCTGAGGACGTTCTTAGTAAGGTAGCTGATGTTCTGGAGGAGGTGAGGAGTACACACACACACACACACACACACACACACACACACACACACACACACACACACACTGGCATGGTCAGATGGAGAGCAGCTGGTGGTGACAGTCAGTGTGGATTTGTTTTAAGAGTGTGTGTGTTCGTGTGTGTGCGTGAGTGCACTTGCATGTGTGTATGTGTTAACTGCATACTGCCATAGACACAAGTCACATGCCTTCCAGCTTCTAGAGACACGCAGACTGTTTCTCCTTTCTGTGGTAAAGTGCTTCCCCCGTGTAGCTCAGTTGGTAGAGCATGGCGCTTGCAACGCCAGGGTTGTGGGTTCGATTCCCACGTGAGGCCAGTATGGGAAAAAATATATATATAATGTATGCACTCACTAACTGTAAGTCGCTCTGGATAAGAGCGTCTGCTAAATGACTAAAATGTAAATGTAAAAATGTCTGAGAGCCACGTCCCTCTCTCTCTCTTCTCCCCTGCTGTTCTCTTTCCCTTGTCCTCTCCCACTCCCTTTCTCCCTCTCTCCTCTATCTATCTCTCTCACTCTCTCTCTCTCAGACTCACTACAGTGAAGGTGATTACATCATCAGGCAGGGTGCCACGGGAGACACCTTCTTTATCATCAGCGAAGGACAGGTGAGGAAGAGGAGGTGGAGGAGAGAAGTGTATAAAATCACAATCATACTGCCATCATGTGGACATATGCAGTAATGCAATTAAAACATACCAGTAATAATCATAATTTAAATTCACAGACTTCCTCCCAATAACGTCCTCTCTCTTCCCCTCTTCCCCTCTCCTCTCCCCCCTTTTTGTCTCGTCTCTCCTGGCTGCACTCAGGTAAAGGTCACGCAACAGAAGTCATCCAATGAGGAGCCAGAGTTTCTGACCACACTCTCTATCGGGGACTGGTTTGGAGAGCAGGCGCTAAAAGGGTGAGACAACAGCACCTCTAACAACCAAACAACAACAAGCAGCTTTAGAGAACAGCCAAAGACAAAACGTGGCATGTAATGTATTCATATTACATACTAACCAAACACACCAACCAATTGCCTAAGTAAACATATACTCTTATAGGTTTAGAGTAGAATTGTATTGGGCAAAGTAAGATAATAAAGATGACTTCTTATTTATGTTGATAATGAATTATTGTATTAATATTTCTCTCTCTCCCCAGGGAGGATGTTCGAACGGCCAGTGTCACAGCAGTAGGAGAAGTCACCTGCCTGGTCGTGGACAGAGAGTGAGAGACCCAGGGGGGTGGGAGAGAGAGAGAGAGCGAGAGAGAGTGAGAGAGAGAGTGTGTATGTGTGCCACAGGAGGCTGCTGAGGGGAGGACAGCTCAAAATAATGTCTGGAATGGAGTAAATGGAAACAATGTGTTTGATGAGTTCAATTACCATTCCATTCATTCTATTCCAGCCATTACTATAAGCCCGTCCTCCCCAATTAAGGTGCCACCAACAAACTGTGGTGCGTGCGTGTGTGTAATTGAACTGTTCTTCATTGGTTGATGTGGGGTTGTGTAACTCTACCCCTCCCCTGTTCCAGGTCATTCATGCAGCTGATTGGAGGGCTTGATGATGTCAGCAGCAGACAGAACGAGAGTGATGAGCTCAAGGCCAAGTAAGTGTCACTACATCTCTGAATTCTCTTCTTTCATTCTCTTTCTAACTTTTTCTTGTTTCACCAAACTAAGTTTAGTCAATTTAGTTTGTGATACTGTATATCCAACCATACAGACTCCCTAATTTCAGTGAAAATATATTGGGCAATTGATTGACCCCTTGTCTCCAGGTTGGAGGCAGAGGCAGTGTTTTTTTCCAGCGTGTCTCTCAATGATTTCCACGTCATCTGTACACTCGGAGTCGGAGGCTTCAGTCGCGTCGAACTGGTAAGTGTGAGTGTGTGTACTAACACGACTGTGATGTGTGTGTGTTTAATATGTATAATGTGTGTGTGTTCAGGTGCAGTTGAAGAGTGATCCCAGCAGGTCGTTTGCTATGAAGGTTCTGAAGAAGCGTCACATTCTGGACACCAGTCAGCAGGGTCACATCCTCTCAGAGAGACGCATCATGATGGACGCACACGGCCCCTTCACCGTCCGGTACACAAACACACACACACACCACACAGCCACTTCACCGACAGTTACGCACACACACACTGACGCTGTGTGTCCTGTCCAGGTTGTATCGGACGTTCAGGGACTCCAAGTATCTGTACATGCTGCAGGAGGCCTGTCTGGGAGGAGAACTGTGGACTCTACTGAGTGCCAGGTGTGTGTGTGTGTACATCTAGAACGACTGCAAATGAAACCTGTCTGTAAACAAACTGCTCAGCCAGCTATCCACTAACCCTAACCCTAGCTTCATGCCCACATCTCAGTTCAACTCTAACCTTAGCCTCAACCCTAACCCTAGCTTCATGCCCACATCTCAGTTCAACTCTAACCCTCAACCCTAACCCTATCTCCATGCCCACATCTCAGTTCAACTCTAACCCTAGCCTCAACCCTAACCCTAACTTCATGCCCACATCTCGGTTCAATTCTAACCCTAGCCTCAACCACAACCTAACCCTAGCTTCATGTCCACATCCCAGTTCAACCCTAACCCTAGCTCCAACCCTAACCATAACCCTAATCCTAGCAAGTTGTTACATATCAATAGAGTTGCAGTTGATAGTTTGAGCACCCATAGATCATCTATGGGACTATTCAAATAAACATTTTCATGTGACTTTTCCAGGGGTTCGTTTGATGACGGCACCACACGGTTCTATACAGGCTGTGTTGTAGAGGCTCTGGCCTTCCTCCATGTTAGAGGTATCATCTACAGAGACCTCAAACCTGAGAACATCATACTGGATCACAGAGGATACGCTAAACTGGTACACACACAAACACACATATTTTAATGCGGTTAACACCTCCAACACAGCATAGGTTTCTGAATAAACAGGCAGTGTGGTTTCCATCATCTTCAGTTGATTGTATCTCGGGCCACAGACACACAGAAACAAAATAGGAACCCTATTTAGTGTGCGTGTTTATCTATCAGGTGGACTTTGGCTTTGCTAAGAAGGTGGGTCTGGGTCAGAAGACGTGGACGTTCTGTGGGACTCCAGAATATGTGGCCCCAGAGATCATCCTGAACAAGGGACACGATATCTCTGCTGACTGCTGGTCCCTGGGGATACTCATCTATGAACTGCTCAGCGGCAGGTACAGCGTGTGTGTGTGTGTGCTCAGAGATGGGGTCTTCTTATTGGTCTCAATGTCGAGACTGTATTTTTCTCCCTCTCCTTCTCCAGTCCTCCGTTCTCTGGTTCTGACCCTATGAACACCTATAACATCATCCTGAGAGGAATCGACATGGTGGAGTTCCCCAAGAAGATCTCCAAGAGTGCAGCCAACCTCATCAAACGCCTCTGCAGGTACAGTGGGGGAAAAAAAGTATTTAGTCAGCCACCAATTGTGCATGTTCTCCCACTTAAAAAGATAAGAGAGGCCTGTAATTTTCATCATAGGTACACGTCAACTATGACAGACAAAATTAGAAAAAAAATCCAGAAAATCACATTTATTTGCAAATTATGGTGGAAAATAAGTATTTGGTCAACAACAAAAGTTTCTCAATAATTTGTTATATACCCTTTGTTGGCAATGACACAGGTCAAACGTTTTCTGTAAGTCTTCACAAGGTTTTCACACACTGTTGCTGGTATTTTGGCCCATTCCTCCATGCAGATCTCCTCTAGAGCAGTGATGTTTTGGGGCTGTCGCTGGGCAACACGGACTTTCAACTCCCTCCAAAGATTTTCTATGGGGTTGAGATCTGGAGACTGGCTAGGCCACTCCAGGACCTAGAAATGCTTCTTACGAAGCCACTCCTTCGTTGCCCGGGCGGTGTGTTTGGGATCATTGTCATGCTGAAAGACCGAGCCACGTTTCATCTTCAATGCCCTTGCTGATGGAAGGAAGTTTTCACTCAAAATCTCACGATACATGGCCCCATTCATTATTTCCTTTACACGGATCAGTCGTCCTGGTCCCTTTGCAGAAAAACAGCCCCAAAGCATGATGTTTCCACCCCCATGCTTCACAGTAGGTATGGTGTTCTTTGGATGCAACTCAGCATTTTTTGTCCTCCAAACACGAAGAGTTGAGTTTTTACCAAAAAGTTCTATTTTGGTTTCATCTGACCATATGACATTCTCCCAATCCTCTTCTGGATCATCCAAATGCACTCTAGCAATCTTCAGACGGGCCTGGACATGTACTGGCTTAAGCAGGGTGACACGTCTTGCACTGCAGGATTTGAGTCCCTGGCGGCGTAGTGTGTTACTGATGGTAGGCTTTGTTACTTTGGTCCCAGCTCTCTGCAGGTCATTCACTAGGTCCCCCCGTGTGGTACTGGGATTTTTGCTCACCATTCTTGTGATCATTTTGACCCCACGGGGTGAGATCTTGCGTGGAGCCCCAGATCGAGGGAGATTATCAGTGGCCAATTCCTAATAATTGCTCCCACAGTTGATTTCTTCAAACCAAGCTGCTTACCTATTGCAGATTCAGTCTTCCCAGCCTGGTGCAGGTCTACAATTTTTATTTCTGGTGTCCTTTGACAGCTCTTTGGTCTTGGCCATAATGGGGTTTGGAGTGTGACTGTTTGAGGTTGTGGACAGGTGTCTTTTATACTGATAACAAGTTCAAACAGGTGCCATTAATACAGGTAACGAGTGGAGGACAGAGGAGCCTCTTAAAGAAGAAGTTACAGGTCTGTGAGAGCCAGAAATCTTGCTTGTTTGTAGGTGACCAAATACTTTTCCACCATAATTTGCAAATAAATTCATTAAAAATCCTACAATGTGATTTTCTGGAGAAAAAAAATCTCAATTTGTCTGTCATAGTTGACGTGTACCTATGATGAAAATTACAGGCCTCTCTCATCTTTTTAAGTGGGAGAACTTGCACAATTGGTGGCTGACTAAATACTTTTTTTCCCCACTGTACATACAAACACACACACAGACACACACACACCACACACACACAGAGAGCATAGAGACCTCATCAAATGGTGCTTGCGCAGTGTGTTTATGTAACTGTATGTGTTTGTATTGCCCAGGGACAACCCATCTGAGAGGGTGGGGAACCAGAAGAACGGGGTGAAGGACATACAGAAACACAAGTAAGAGTTACCATGGTGATGAGGACTACTGTAGCTACCTACCGATAGGACTGCATGGAACAGAAATAGCTACATTTTCTGAAATAACATTTTATTCTTCAGCTCCCGTACAGCCATGTCTCACTAGAGCAACTGAAAGCAACAGAGATGATTTACCACAGTTAGTCACAGTTAGGACGACTAACCTGGGCTGTGTCCGAAATGGCACCCTATACCCTATTTTTGTTATTTCTCTTCAGGTGGTTTGAAGGTTTTAATTGGGAGGGACTCCGACAGACAACTCTAGCCCCTCCTTTCACTCCTACTGTGAGTAAATACGCATATACACACACACATATACACACAGACACACACACACACACTCAGCCGTGTCTCCTCTTTCCCAGGTGGAGGGTCCACTGGACACCAGAAACTTTGACTGTTTCCCTGATGACAACGAGGCCCCGCCCCCAGACGAGGAGTCCGGCTGGGATCTGGAGTTCTGATTGGACAACATACATTATGTAGAACAGACATGTCTTTCTGACATACATTACCAGTCAAAAGTTTGGACACACCTACTCCTTCAAGGGTTTTTCTTTATTTTTACTATTTTCTACATTGTAGAATAATAGTGAAGACATCAAAACTATGAAATAACACATATGGAATCATGTATTAACCAAAAAAGTGTTCAACAAATCAAAATATATTTTAGATTCTTCATAGTAGCCACCCTTTGCCTTGATGACAGATTTCCACACTCTTGGCATTCTCTTAACCAGCTTCACCTGGAATGCTCTTCCAACAGTCTTGAAGGAGTTCCCACATATGCTGAGCACTTGTTGGCTGCTTTTCCTTTACTCTGCGGTCCAACTAATTCCAAACCAACTCAATTGGGTTGAGGTTGGGTGATTGTGGAGGCCAGGTCATCTGATGCAGCACTCCATCACTCTCCTTCTTGGTCAAATAGCCCTTACACAGCCTGGAGGTGTGTTGGGTCATTGTCCTGTTGAAAAACAAATAATAGTCCCACTAAGCGCAAACCAGATGGGATGGCGTATTGCTGCAGAATGCTGTGGTAGCCATGCTGGTTAAGTGTGCCTTGAATTCTAAATAAATCACAGACAGTGTCACCAGCAAAGCACCCCCACACCATCACACCTCCTCCTCCATGCTTCATGGTGGGAACCACACATGCGGAGATCATCCGTTCACCTACTCTGCATCTCACAAAGACACGGCGGTTGGAACCAAACATTTCAAATTTGGACTCATCAGACCAAAGGACAGATTTCCACCGGTCTAATGTCCATTGCTTGTGTTTCTTGCCCCAAGCATGTCTCTTCTTCTTATTGGTCTCCTTTAGTAGTGGTTTCTTTGCAGCAATTCGACCATGACGGCCTGATTCACGCAGTCTCCTCTGAGCAGTTGATGTTGAGATGTGTCTGTTACTTGAACTCTGTGAAGCATTTATTTGGGCTGCAATTTCTGAGGCTGGTAACTCTAATGAACTTATCCTCTGCAGCAGAGGTAACTCTGGGTCTTCCTTTCCTGTGGCGGTCCTCATGAGAGCCAGTTTCATCATAGCGCCTGATGGTTTTTGCGACTACACGTCAAGAATCTTTCAAAGTTCTTGAAATGTTCCGTATTGACTGACCTTCATGTCTTAAAGTAATGATGGACTGTCGTTTCTCTTTGTTTATTTGAGCTGTTCTTGCCATTCAAATTTGTATTTTACCAAATAGGGCTATCTTCTGTGTACCACCCCTAACTTGTCACAACACAACTGATTGGCTCAAATGCATTAAGAAGGAAAGAAATTCCACAATTTAACTTTTAAGAAGGCACACCTGTTAATTGAAATGCATTCCAGGTGACTACCTCATGAAGCTGGTTGAGAGAATGCCAAGAGTGTGCAAAGCTGTCATTTACATTTTAGTCATTTAGCAGACGCTCTTATCCAGAGCGACTTACAGTTAGTGAGTGCATACATTTTTCATACTGGCCCCCCGTGGGAAACAAACCCACAACCCTGGCGTTGCAAGCGCCATGCTCTACCAACTGAGCTACAGGGGACCCAAGGCAAAGGGTGGCTACTTTGAAGAATCTCAAATACAAAATATATTTTGATTTGTATAACACTTTTTGGGTTACTACATGATTACATATGTGTTATTTCATAGTTTTGATGTCTTCACTATTATTCTACAATGTAGAAAATAGTAAAAATAAAGAAAAACCCTGGAATTAGTAGGTGTGTCCAAACTTATGACTGGTACTGTATAGATTAAGGCATCATGTCAACTCTAATAATGGCATTTCTGTCTGCAACAGTCAGTGTGTTGCACCCTCCTGAATGCGAACCTGGTGGGCTAGGTTTAACTGGTTGGTTTACCATGTGAGTTAGGAGTATCTGGCGGGTTACCGGGTAAGCTAGGTATACCAGGTTTGTCTCTGCCAAGGTGAGCTGGGGGTTCATATAACAGCTTTCTACAATACAATAAGAATGTTTAGAGATTTGTTTGTGTTCCTCTGTTTTGACTTGGAAAATTGTGAGTTCCACAATATTTGGTCATAAAATATATAACCAAAATAAAAAAACATTAAACTCTGTATCAAATGTCTGAATAACTAAACAGAGCAGTGTCGTGCAGAAGCACCCAGAGGGAGAGAGATGTGACTGCATGTAAAAGGAAGAATAAGGGGAAGAGTGTGAGAATGAATGAGGGGAAAGTTAATGAAAGTTTGAACAGGATCATTTCCTTTCTCAGATGGTCACAGCGCTGAGATCCTTATCAGATCATTTAACCCCTTATAGGCTGATGATATGTGTTTGAGAGCTGTGAGATGTTATCAGATCCAAAGAGGTCGTCCTGTGTCACCAGGGATTGTTACATCTCCATGGTAACAGAGGTCATCATGGAAACCCTGCCACCTCCACTAACAACCTTTCCCCCCCTCATAACACACACACAAACACTCTCTCACACAAACACACACGCCTTTCACAATGATTGATCTGCCTTTCTACATGACTGAACCACTACACATGAAACGTGACTGGGATATTTAAAACAACTAATTTCTATTCCCGTTTCCTATGTCTAATTGAACTAGGGATTCTATTTTTAGAATCTTAAATTGAAGTAGCCTATTCTAAATCAAACTTGAGCTAATCGTATTCATATTACAATACTGAAGGTTTCTGGTTTTGCAGACAAGTAATTTTCCCCACGAACGCACCTGAACATCTGCTTCTCACCTTAGAAGACCATTGTAACCTTGCCCTATGCATTTGGGAATAATATAATCCCTTTAGTTTCAATTTCCACAATGAACGTTCTTTCATGAATAAATATGGGCACAAGCACGGAAAGTTCCAAATCGCTCAGTGGAAACATTCTATAAATTAGCCTAACGCACGCGCGCACCGCGACCCCCATTGGTGATGCCGGTCGCTGATTGGACAAACCCGCTGGGGGTCCAGTGAGTTATATAACAAACGGCTTATAAAAACGGCTCGTAAATGTAACACTAACCAGGGAACTAACAGAGAGCTACATCCCAACTGTTCTCCAGCAAAAATCAAGCCGACCTCTCCTACCTGTCCCACCCGAAGAATATCACCCTATTTGGACAAGATGCTAGCTAAATTCGGCCTGTTCGCTATCTTCCTAGTCCTGGGGACTTCTGCCTTCGACACCGAACCAGAGGAATCCTCTCCTCGCCGTGCACGCTTCTCCTCCAACAGCCCCTGTAAGTACCGTTGGTTAGCCTAATGTGCAAAAAACAATGCAAACTGCAGTTCTCATCCAAAAAGGCTGTAGATATAGAGTGCATTGTGTTCAAGCACAAGAGTTGGGTATGAAAGTTGCCTCTTCTGATCAAACCTTCCTAAAATAGTTGCATTCCCATGAATAGAGAAATAGGCACATTCTTAAATGTGCGTGAGTGTAGCCCACTACAGCCTATGTCAATTGCTGAAGTTTGATGTGTTTCCCCCCCCCCTTTCCAGCGGAAGTGGCTGGGTGTTTGAGTGGTGCTGTAGCCGTGGGATGTGGACCATTTGCCTGCCTGGAGAATTCTACCTGTGACACGGATGGCATGCACGATATCTGCCAACTGTTCCTCCACACCGCAGCTACCTTCAACACACAGGTAATCTATACACACACACACACACACACTTTTTTGACAACCCACTGCAGTGTCTCTAACCCTGTGTGTGTGTGTGTGTGTGTGTGTGTGTGTGTGTGCAGGGTAAGACATTTGTAAAGGACAGTCTGAGGTGTATTGCCAATGGCGTCACGTCTAAAGTGTTCCAGACCATCAGGCGCTGTGGAATCTTCCAGAGGATGATCTCTGAGGTCAGTCACTGGCTTTATTATTAGAGATTTACAACATATCAGCCGTCATACCTTCCTATTGGCGCCAAAACTATCCCAAATAACCTCTACTGTGTGGTAGGATGAAGTGCTAGTTTCTGAGAGTTAAAATGATTGTGTGTGCATAGGTCCAGGAGGAGTGTTACAGTAGGCTGGACATCTGTGGTGTGGCTCGCTCCAACCCTGAGGCCATTGGAGAGGTGGTACAGGTACCTGCACACTTCCCCAACAGGTGAGTCAGTCAAATCAAATCAAATTTTATTGGCCACATGCGCCGAATACAACAGGTGTAGACATTACAGTGAAATGCTTACTTACAGCCCTTAACCAACAGTGCATTTATTTTAAATAAAAAAGTAAAATAAAACAACAACAAAAAAGTGTTGAGAAAAAAAGAGCAGAAGTAAAATAAAATAACAGTAAGGAGGCTATATATACAGGGGGGTACCGGTGCAGAGTCAATGTGCGGGGGCACCGGCTAGTTGAGGTAGTTTAAGTAATATGTACATGTGGGTAGAGTTAAAGTGACTATGCATAAATAATGAACAGAGTAGCAGCAGCGTAAAAAGATGGGGTGGGGGGTCGGGTGGGGGGCAGTGCAAATAGTCTGGGTAGCCATGATTAGCTGTTCAGGAGTCTTATGGCTTGGGGGTAGAAGCTGTTGAGAAGTATTTTGGACCTAGACTTGGCACTCCGGTACCGCTTGCCGTGCGGTAGCAGAGAGAACAGTCTATGACTAAGGTGGCTGGAGTCTTTGACAATTTTGAGGGCCTTCCTCTGACACCGCCTGGTATAGAGGTCCTGGATGGCAGGAAGCTTGGCCCCAGTGATGTACTGGGCCGTACGCACTACCCTCTGTAGTGCCTTGCGGTCGAAGGCCAAGCAGTTGCCATACCAGGCGGTGATGCAACCAGTCAGGATGCTCTCGATGGTGCAGCTGTATAATTTTTTGAGGATCTGAGGACCCATGCTAAATCTTTTCAGTCTCCTGAGGGGGAATAGGCTTTGTCGTGCCCTCTTCACGACTGTCTTGGTGTGTTTGGACCATGATAGTTCGTTGGTGATGTGGACACCAAGGAACTTGAAGCTCTCAACCTGTTCCACTACAGCCCCGTCGATGAGAATGGGGGCGTGCTCAGTCCTCTTTTTTTTCCTGTAGTCCACAATCATCTCCTTTGTCTTGGTCATGTTGAGGGAGAGGTTGTTATCCTGGCACCACACGGCCAGGTCTCTGACCTCCTCCCTATAGGCTGTCTCATCGTTGTCGGTGATCAGGCCTACCACTGTTGTGTCGTCGGCAAACTTAATGATGGTGTTGGAGTCGTGCCTGGCCATGCAGTCATGGGTGAACAGGGAGTACAGGAGGGGACTGAGCACGCACCCCTGAGGGGTCCCCGTGTTGAGGATCAGTGTGGCAGATGTGTTGTTACCTACCCTTACCACCTGGGGGTGGCCCGTCAGGTGTTAAGTGTGTGTGTGTGTGCATGCGTGTGTGTGTGTGTGTGTGCGTGCGTGCGTGTGTGTGTGCGTGTGTGTGTGTGTGAGTGAGAGTGACTAATGCGATGTGTGTGTGATAACGGTGAGTCTGTATTCCAGGTACTACAGCACTCTGCTTCAGTCCCTGCTGGCCTGTGATCAGGAGACAGTGGCGGTTGTCAGGGCAGGGCTTGTTTCAAGGCTGGGGCCAGACATGGAGACCCTCTTCCAGCTGCTGCAGAACAAGCCCTGCCCCCACGATTCTAACCAGGGTGTTAACTCCTCCCCTCCCGGCTGGCGCATGGGGTCTCCCCCCTCCTTCAAGATCCAGCCCAGTATGAGAGGAAGAGACCCCACCCACCTGTTTGCTAGGAAACGCTCTCTGGAGGAGTCGGATAGAGAGATGGAGTAGAGAGGACACACACACTCACACCACAGCTACCTTAAACACATAAACACTCTCATTTAAAAAAAAACATTTGAGTCATTTAGCAGACACTCTTATCCAGAGTGACTTACAGTTAGTGAGTGCATACATTTTCATACTGGCCCCCCGTGGGAAACGAACCCACAACCCTGGCGTTGCAAGCGCCATGCTCTACCAACTGAGCTACAGGGGGCACTCACACTCATGAATGCTTCAACTGTCTATGTATGCTGACACACACATATTTTCACATGCAAAGTGATTAAGGGTAAATGATTAAGGGAAGTTTGGGGCTGTTGTAATGTAGTAGTTGATTTGGGGAAGCGTCTATCTAACTGCTGTTGAAAGTATTTCTGTGTTGGCTGATACTTGATGAGAGGGAGATGAAACTTGTTACCTGGACTTTGAATGTGGAGGATTATATCTGCTCAGAATAGCCTCAACTAAACCTAGAGAGCTGATAATTTAATGTTAACAATTTAAACATTTCAAAGGCCATCTAGAAAACGAACCGTCACTGTAGTTCCATCTGATTTCAACATGGCACTACAGCCATAACATCCCAGTTTTGACCAGTGATTAACAAGACAATCCTATTTAAAAAGAGCTATGGGCATATTATTATAGATATTTATTTTCTGACAGAATGTTTATTTATGATGTTGATGTTGTATTATGTCTTTAGTTGTAACTTGTGTGATTGGTTTAAGTTGTCGGCAGTGGGCGGGGTTTGACATCTTGATGTGACGTCACTTTCTGATGCCGTACTGTATGCCGCTCTATGAGGATGTCACCACCCCCTCAGAGGGACATGTCAACGCAACGCGCTGGTCGTGGGGCTCACCGCATCCTTCTCTGTCTCTGTCTGTGTTAATGTTAGAGTCTTATACTGTGTAAGATGTGGTTAGATCATATATGATTTGCAATCCTGTGTGTAAGAGAATGTGTGTGTGCTAGGCTTGTTGAGTCTGGTACTCTACACTATGTGGGCTTGGGGTAATTCTCTCTGCTACAAATAAATGTTGGAACCTTCATAATTTTGTCTATGGTGATTTGTGTCGAGACTAGTGATTAAACGATCACAGTTTCACACATCGATGATCTTAAATCATTTGCATTGGTGTTAGAGTGTGAGGTTAAAGTATTTTGGAAGTTTATACTGTCATTTCCATCCACTGGGTGGCAGTATACTCCTATGGATGATCCCTGGCCAGGGGCTGTGCTTCCTCAGTACAGTCTTACTCTACAACAAGATTATCTCTGGTACAAATCTCCAGTCCCAGCCAAACTCCCCAGGCCTATGACTTTACCAGACCTCTGTACATACAGCCAGAACCAGCATTCTAAATCACAGGCCTGTAAGCCCTCCTACGTTCTTCTTACCACTTTCTCACAGTTAGTTTCTATGCTTTCCAAACTCATCTGTTAGAAGTCTATCTGACAGACCAGCCCTAAGTGGTTCAAAACATCCCGAATTGAGGTAATGATAATAACTCTCCCTAATCAATCAATATGATCAGTTATGAGGTTGTTGGCCCAGACAGTTTGAAAGGGAAGGGAGGAGAGGTGTACAATAGGAAATGATCTATACTGCTAATGGCTCCCTAAGTGTTCAGTAATGACATAGAATACATTATTTATCTCTCTGTCTCTCAGGAGTACATTTGGTAACATTTACCTGTTTCAACTGCTTCAGAAAGAAACGATGCTATACTAAAAAGTTATGTTTCTAAAATGGCGGTTTGGGTCACAGCTGATCCATTCCTTCTAGGTCGTTATTAGGGTCAGAAACAGAAACAGTGGTGGTTGTGGTTATTGGGTGGGTCGCAGCAGGGAATTTTGGAAGGCTTTAGATGGGTCACAGTACAAAATAGTCTGGGAACCAGTGGTAATGAGGTACTCAGTGCTGACTCTGTCTGTCTCTCACACACACACACAATAGCTAGTGTTGGCTATTCAGCATGATAAATCCATTGGGGTGGGGGCAGGGTAAAATGTCAGTTGAGGTGACAAAACAAATAATACATGTCCAAAGGGGGAGCAGGAAGTCTGGGGGGGGACAGGGGGAGTAGGTAGCTGACTAGTGGTGGCTATTCAGCAGCCTGATGATGTGGGGGTAGAAAATATTGACCAGTCTTTCATTTACATTTTAGTCATTTAGCAGACGCTCTTATCCAGAGCGACTTACAGTTAGTGAATACATATATTTTTTTATACTGGCCCCCCGTGGGAATTGAACCCACAACCCTGGCGTTGCAAACGCCATGCTCTATCAACTGAGCTACATCCCTGCCGGCCATTCCCTCCCCTACCCTGGACGACGCTGGGCCAATTGTGCGCCGCCCCATGGGTCTCCCGGTCGCGGCCGGCTACAACAGAGCCTGGATTCGAACCAGGATCTCTAGTGGCACAGTTAGCACTGCAATGCAGTGCCTTAGACCACTGCGCCACTCAGGAGTCTGCAGTTTTTGCCATGATGCTCTTATACTGCTCCTATACTTAGTGATGGAAGCGGGGAGAACAGGGCATGGCTCGGTGGCTGGGCTCCCTGATGATCTTCTTGGCCTTCCTATGACACAGGCAGTGTGCACCCAATGATGTGTTCGGCTGAGCGTACCACCCTCTGTAGCACCTTGCGGTCAGCGGCGGTGGAGTTGCCGTACCAGGCTGTGATGCAGCCCGACAGTATGCTCTCGATGGTGCTCCTGTAGAACACCGTGAGGGCCCTCGGGGACAGGCCGGACTTCTTCAGCATCCTGAGGTTGAAGAGTCGCTGTCGTGCTTTATTCACCACGGTGTCCGTGTGGTTTGACCATTTCAGCTCCTCTGAGATGTGTACGCTGAGGAACTTGACACCGTTGCTAGCCACCCTGTGAATAAATCTTCAGCATTTTTACAAAAGGCTGAGAACCCTGATAGCCCCTGTGTTTCTCCAGGCTGATCCTCTGCTAGCTCCTACAGGTGTTGAAAACAGCACCACACTGGATGCCAGTGACTCTGACACCCCTCTGAACAATCTGTCCCTGGTGGAAACTGCAGCCCCATTATGGCTCCTCACACCCTGTAACGGCAGCTCATGGCCCATTAACCCCAATAGTGTCCACATACAGCCAGGAGAGCACTTAATGGAGAGGGGTGGCAGGGGTGGGGTGTTTGCATTAACACCTTGGTGGGGGACATTCATTGCCGTCATTGTGTGCATTTGTTTGTGGTGGTCAACATATAGGGCAGATGGCTGTGCTAACAGCCCTCATTTCCAGGAATACAAGCAGCCCTGAGAAAACACACTCCTCAACGCGTTTAGACAAGCCAAGATTTACACAGTGACTCAGGGAGAGCTCAGGGAAGTTAACACTATTCAGGGTAATCAGGTTAGAATAGGCTACTTCAAATATAGAGAGAGAATGGGTGGGGTGCTTTATCCTTAAGCCTTGGGAGAAGTTTATTGAAAATTCCTGAAACTGAAATAATAAGGATAGGATCCATATGAAATGGTTTTATTCAACACAGTTACCGGTAGTTATGAGCTGTGAACTACAGCCCCGTCGATGAGAATGGGGGCGTGCTCAGTCCTCTTTTTTTTCCTGTAGTCCACAATCATCTCCTTTGTCTTGGTCATGTTGAGGGAGAGGTTGTTATCCTGGCACCACACGGCCAGGTCTCTGACCTCCTCCCTATAGGCTGTCTCATCGTTGTCGGTGATCAGGCCTACCACTGTTGTGTCGTCGGCAAACTTAATGATGGTGTTGGAGTCGTGCCTGGCCATGCAGTCATGGGTGAACAGGGAGTACAGGAGGGGACTGAGCACGCACCCCTGAGGGGCCCCCGTGTTGAGGATCAGTGTGGCAGATGTGTTGTTACCTACCCTTACCACCTGGGGGCAGCCCGTCAGGTGGTAAGTGTGTGTGTGTGTGTGTGTGTGTGTGTGTGTGTGTGTGTGTGTGTGTGTGTGTGTGTGTGTGTGTGTGTGTGTGTGTGTGTGTGTGTGTGTGTGTGTGTGTGTGTGTGTGTGTGTGTGTGTGTGTGTGTGTGCTCGTGCGTGCGTGCGTGCGTGCGTGCGTGCGTGCGTGCGTGCGTGTGTGTGTGTGTGTGTGTGTGTGTGTGTGTGTGTGTGTGTGTGTGTGTGTGTGTGAGTGAGTGAGAGTGACTAATGCGATGTGTGTGTCATAACGGTGAGTCTGTATTCCAGGTACTACAGCACTCTGCTCCAGTCCCTGCTGGCCTGTGATCAGGAGACAGTGGCGGTTGTCAGGGCAGGGCTTGTTTCAAGGCTGGGGCCAGACATGGAGACCCTCTTCCAGCTGCTGCAGAACAAGCCCTGCCCCCAGGATTCTAACCAGGGTGTTAACTCCTCCCCTCCCGGCTGGCGCATGGGGTCTCCCCCCTCCTTCAAGATCCAGCCCAGCATGAGAGGAAGAGACCCCACCCACCTGTTTGCTAGGAAACGTTCTCTGGAGGAGTCGGATAGAGAGATGGAGTAGAGAGGACACACACACTCACACCACAGCTACCTTAAACACATAAACACTCTCATTTAAAAAAAACATTTGAGTCATTTAGCAGACACTCTTATCCAGAGTGACTTACAGTTAGTGAGTGCATACATTTTCATACTGGCCCCCCGTGGGAAACGAACCCACAACCCTGGCGTTGCAAGCGCCATGCTCTACCAACTGAGCTACAGGGGGCACTCACACTCATGAATGCTTCAACTGTCTATGTATGCTGACACACACATATTTGCACATGCAAAGTGATTAAGGGTAAATGATTAAGGGAAGTTTGGGGCTGTTGTAATGTAGTAGTTGATTTGGGGAAGCGTCTATCTAACTGCTGTTGAAAGTATTTCTGTGTTGGCTGATACTTGATGAGAGGGAGATGAAACTTGTTACCTGGACTTTGAATGTGGAGGATTATATCTGCTCAGAATAGCCTCAACTAAACCTAGAGAGCTGATAATTTAATGTTAACAATTTAAACATTTCAAAGGCCATCTAGAAAACGAACCGTCACTGTAGTTCCATCTGATTTCAACATGGCACTACAGCCATAACATCCCAGTTTTGACCAGTGATTAACAAGACAATCCTATTTAAAAAGAGCTATGGGCATGTTATTATAGATATTTATTTTCTGACAGAATGTTTATTTATGATGTTGATGTTGTATTATGTCTTTAGTTGTAACTTGTGTGATTGGTTTAAGTTGTCGGCAGTGGGCGGGGTTTGACATCTTGATGTGACGTCACTTTCTGATGCCGTACTGTATGCCGCTCTATGAGGATGTCACCACCCCCTCAGATGGACATGTCAACGCAACGCGCTGGTCGTGGGGCTCACCGCATCCTTCTCTGTCTCTGTCTGTGTTAATGTTAGAGTCTTATACTGTGTAAGATGTGGTTAGATCATATATGATTTGCAATCCTGTGTGTAAGAGAATGTGTGTGTGCTAGGCTTGTTGAGTCTGGTACTCTACACTATGTGGGCTTGGGGTAATTCTCTCTGCTACAAATAAATGTTGTAACCTTCATAATTTTGTCTATGGTGATTTGTGTCGAGACTAGTGATTAAACGATCACAGTTTCACACATCGATGATCTTAAATCATTTGCATTGGTGTTAGAGTGTGAGGTTAAAGTATTTTGGAAGTTTATACTGTCATTTCCATCCACTGGGTGGCAGTATACTCCTATGGATGATCCCTGGCCAGGGGCTGTGCTTCCTCAGTACAGTCTTACTCTACAACAAGATTATCTCTGGTACAAATCTCCAGTCCCAGCCAAACTCCCCAGGCCTATGACTTTACCAGACCTCTGTACATACAGCCAGAACCAGCATTCTAAATCACAGGCCTGTAAGCCCTCCTACGTTCTTCTTACCACTTTCTCACAGTTAGTTTCTATGCTTTCCAAACTCATCTGTTAGAAGTCTATCTGACAGACCAGCCCTAAGTGGTTCAAAACATCCCGAATTGAGGTAATGATAATAACTCTCCCTAATCAATCAATATGATCAGTTATGAGGTTGTTGGCCCAGACAGTTTGAAAGGGAAGGGAGGAGAGGTGTACAATAGGAAATGATCTATACTGCTAATGGCTCCCTAAGTGTTCAGTAATGACATAGAATACATTATTTATCTCTCTGTCTCTCAGGAGTACATTTGGTAACATTTACCTGTTTCAACTGCTTCAGAAAGAAACGATGCTATACTAAAAAGTTATGTTTCTAAAATGGCGGTTTGGGTCACAGCTGATCCATTCCTTCTAGGTCGTTATTAGGGTCAGAAACAGAAACAGTGGTGGTTGTGGTTATTGGGTGGGTCGCAGCAGGGAATTTTGGAAGGCTTTAGATGGGTCACAGTACAAAATAGTCTGGGAACCAGTGGTAATGAGGTACTCAGTGCTGACTCTGTCTGTCTCTCACACACACACACAATAGCTAGTGTTGGCTATTCAGCATGATAAATCCATTGGGGTGGGGGCAGGGTAAAATGTCAGTTGAGGTGACAAAACAAATAATACATGTCCAAAGGGGGAGCAGGAAGTCTGGGGGGGGACAGGGGGAGTAGGTAGCTGACTAGTGGTGGCTATTCAGCAGCCTGATGATGTGGGGGTAGAAAATATTGACCAGTCTTTCATTTACATTTTAGTCATTTAGCAGACGCTCTTATCCAGAGCGACTTACAGTTAGTGAATACATATATTTTTTTATACTGGCCCCCCGTGGGAATTGAACCCACAACCCTGGCGTTGCAAACGCCATGCTCTATCAACTGAGCTACATCCCTGCCGGCCATTCCCTCCCCTACCCTGGACGACGCTGGGCCAATTGTGCGCCGCCCCATGGGTCTCCCGGTCGCGGCCGGCTACAACAGAGCCTGGATTCGAACCAGGATCTCTAGTGGCACAGTTAGCACTGCAATGCAGTGCCTTAGACCACTGCGCCACTCAGGAGTCTGCAGTTTTTGCCATGATGCTCTTATACTGCTCCTATACTTAGTGATGGAAGCGGGGAGAACAGGGCATGGCTCGGTGGCTGGGCTCCCTGATGATCTTCTTGGCCTTCCTATGACACAGGCAGTGTGCACCCAATGATGTGTTCGGCTGAGCGTACCACCCTCTGTAGCACCTTGCGGTCAGCGGCGGTGGAGTTGCCGTACCAGGCTGTGATGCAGCCCGACAGTATGCTCTCGATGGTGCTCCTGTAGAACACCGTGAGGGCCCTCGGGGACAGGCCGGACTTCTTCAGCATCCTGAGGTTGAAGAGTCGCTGTCGTGCTTTATTCACCACGGTGTCCGTGTGGTTTGACCATTTCAGCTCCTCTGAGATGTGTACGCTGAGGAACTTGACACCGTTGCTAGCCACCCTGTGAATAAATCTTCAGCATTTTTACAAAAGGCTGAGAACCCTGATAGCCCCTGTGTTTCTCCAGGCTGATCCTCTGCTAGCTCCTACAGGTGTTGAAAACAGCACCACACTGGATGCCAGTGACTCTGACACCCCTCTGAACAATCTGTCCCTGGTGGAAACTGCAGCCCCATTATGGCTCCTCACACCCTGTAACGGCAGCTCATGGCCCATTAACCCCAATAGTGTCCACATACAGCCAGGAGAGCACTTAATGGAGAGGGGTGGCAGGGGTGGGGTGTTTGCATTAACACCTTGGTGGGGGACATTCATTGCCGTCATTGTGTGCATTTGTTTGTGGTGGTCAACATATAGGGCAGATGGCTGTGCTAACAGCCCTCATTTCCAGGAATACAAGCAGCCCTGAGAAAACACACTCCTCAACGCGTTTAGACAAGCCAAGATTTACACAGTGACTCAGGGAGAGCTCAGGGAAGTTAACACTATTCAGGGTAATCAGGTTAGAATAGGCTACTTCAAATATAGAGAGAGAATGGGTGGGGTGCTTTATCCTTAAGCCTTGGGAGAAGTTTATTGAAAATTCCTGAAACTGAAATAATAAGGATAGGATCCATATGAAATGGTTTTATTCAACACAGTTACCGGTAGTTATGAGCTGTGAATAGAACACAGGACATAGAACACAGAAACAGCCGAAATCTCACCAGAGAGAGCTAATGCAGCCAGAAGTTTAACAGAACGTTTCCTCTCCAAGGGACAGACATGCTCTCCAGACCCTGGACCTCAGCCAAACAGGCTGTCAACTGTGAGTGCGTGTGTGTGTCTGGCAGGAAGCTTCTGTCCAGATCTCAGGGTGATTGATAGAGCGAAGGTACTGGCCAATACTCTCTTCCCACCATTAATCACACATTAATCACACACATACACATGCACACTTACCATTTTCTGGAAAGAATGCTTCCTCTGCATTCAGCAGCAGAACCGCTCCTCCCTATCTCTCATCACACAGTCTTTTCAATTGTCCTTTATTCAGCCTCTGAAGTCCTGGAGCACTACTACGCAACATTTGGCTGACTGATCACTTCAGCATGTGCTCTCACTCTCTCTATTTTCTTTCTCATTCAAAAAGACTTCAGTGAAGTTTTGTAATACTGTTTTCTTTATTAACAGTCCTTTAATAAAGGCATTCACTGTAAAGGAATGTAGACTTCCATTGTCGATAAGTGCATTTGCCACGGTTTTAAAAGCATTTACATTATCAATAACATCATCATTACCCTCAACATAACACTGGTGTCCATAGAGTCCAGGGGAGAGAGTGATGCTGTTACTGTAGGCAAGCCCTGACTAACACTGCTGGTATGATATTAGCTTATTAAAACACATAGCATCTTACCCACTTCTTTCCTCTGATTCTAACATCATATCCACTCCTCTCTTAGGTGTAATTTCATTGACAGGGATAAAAACAAGCAACCATGTAAAAAAGAAATACAGGAAATATATTTTCATATTACACAATTCATAATATATTTACAAAAGAAGTGAATTATTTATTTTCCCATGGTAAGATTTCCTTTTTATATCCTGTATGGTTTACTCAGTGAAGCAGCAGCTTGTTGCGTAATATGGCAATGAAAATAATGTTTAGCAGCCTCCTCCTCTGCCTCTTGCTCCTGTGTGAGTCTCCTTGTATTAATAGTTCAGTATACTCCTAGGGAGAAGAAGAGAAGAGCCCAGTCTTTGTAAAAAAAAGTATATTTCATGTCTTATGACTCTGTTATAACCCTCTGTGTGTCTATCTTTGCCATAGTCTTAATCTTTGTGAATGAGCCTCTCGCCAGAAATGCAGAGCAGGTCAAATGAAACCACTAAGCTCCGGGGCAGACTGGAGAACGAGGGGTTAAAGCACTCAGCTAGTGTCCTGCCCTCTGGTAGGTCTCCCAGTCACCAAGGAGAGGCTGGGGGTAGAAGCCTGGGGGTGGGGGGTAGGAGGGGCTGGGGGTAGGAAAGGCTGGCTGTAGGAGGGGGGCAGTAGTAGCTGAGATGAAAGCAGAGATCATGGTAGGGACTGACTAAAAGGGAGGTGGATAGGTTAAGGTGTGTAGATCAACGTTGGCTGTGTCCCCAGGTGGTGGTGTGCTGGGTAGGTATGGTGTAGGTCAGGATGGACATCCGGGAGGGAATATGGTGGTCGTAGGCCAGGGTAGAGGTTCGAGAAGGGGTCCTAGGGGGGGTGTGCTGGGTGTAGAGCAGGGTGGAAGTCTGGGACGGGCTCCGGGAAGAGTACTCTGCTCTGTGGGTCGTCTCCCTGGAGGAGTCAGAGGAGCTGCTGGTGTCTGGACCCGCTAGAGAATACTGGACCACAGGGATGGACAGATCCAAATACTCCTAGAGAGAGAGCAGAAACAGCAGGAGGGCGAGAGAGAGGACACGTTCAGGGAAACATTTTACATTTGTTTACATTTTAGTCATTTAGCAGACGCTCTTATCCAGAGCGACTTACAGTTAGTGAGTGCATACATTTTTCATACTGGCCCCCCGTGGGAATCGAACCCACAACCCTGGCGTTGCAAGCGCCATGCTCTACCAACTGAGCTACAGGAGGTCTTTCAATGACACGAAAAATTCAAATTATACGAAAATGACACTGTGTGTGTGTGTGTGTTTACCTGGTTGGCCATGAGCGAGAGTGTGCGGTCCAGATCCTCTACCAGCTGTTGGAAGGTTGGTCTGTGAGACTGAACAGCATGCCAGCAGTCTCTCATCATCATGTACCTGAGAACAAACACCACCGGGTAAGAACAGACTGTGTATTTGCATTACTATACGTGCAAGGACATTATTATACTTGTATTACTATACTTGTGAGGACATTATACTGTGTGTGTGTGTGTACTCACAGCTCCTCTGTGCAGGCGGCTGGTCTGTCCATACGATGTCCCTCCTTTAGCAGTTTGAACAGCTCCTCTACAGGGACACCAGGGTAGGGAGAGCCTCCTAGAGTAAAGATCTCCCACAGCAACACACCAAACGACCACCTACAACACACACATACACACAGAATTCAATACAATTAACTATCACTTTATCAGAGACATTTATTGGTGGGCTTGAAAATAAACCTGGACACATAACATGATGGATCAACGCAACGCAACGCCATGGCACAACACAACATGATGTCTATTAAAAGTTAAGAGTGTGAGACTTACACGTCACTCTGGTGAGTGTAGATGCGGTCGAACAGAGCCTCTGGTGCCATCCATTTCACTGGCAGACGACCCTGTGAAGAAAACAAGGGGTTAAACCATCTATATGTCTGTCTGTCTGTTTAAGTCAACCCGCTCCATTTAGACCAAGTTACTCACGTTGGTTGTCTTCTTGTAGTAGTCTATGTGGTGGATGTCTCTGGCCAGCCCAAAGTCTGCGATTTTCATCACATTGTCCTCTGTCACCAACACATTCCTGGCTGCCAGGTCTCTGTGGATACACTACAAAACAAACAACTTATTGATTAATTCATTGATTGACACAAATGTCCACACTTCTAGGAGAAAGGGAGAAGCAGAATAAGAGAAAATAATAGATGCAAACGAAGAGAGAGAGACAGACAGAAAGAGAGACAATAACACTGGTCTCTTCTCTGACCTTCTGTGAGGCAAGGTAGGCCATGCCCCTTGCCACCTGGTAGGCAGCAGACATCAGCTCCCTGACCTCCAGGCTGTCCAAGGGGGCCTGGGTAGACCCAGACCAGTACTCCAGACCCACGGGCCTCCGACACCGCAGGTACTCTCTCAGGTTGCCCTGAGATGCATACTCTACCACCACGTAGAGAGGGCCTGGAGAGAGAAGAGGGTTATAATTAGGCTTGGGCGGTATACCGTATATAGCGTATACAGGGGTATTTGGAAAAAGCCACGGGATGGTTTTTCAACACCGTTAAAACTATTTATTTATTGATTTTTGTTGATTTTTGTAATACCTTGTTTTGTTTTTTCTAAATCTTTTTTTTTAGGGGGTAGATCAGCTTTAATATTGCAGATAGATTGTAACTTCCATCAATGTAATTGTCTGCATCACTTCCAATCCCCCATATGTTTTTTTTTCTTTTTTCTCTCGCATATATACATACATATACACATACATACACATATATATATATATACACACATACATACATACATATCCTTTAAAAATATATATATTTCCCTTTATTAATTTCCAACCTCACCATCCCCTCCCTAATTGGAGTAAACTAGTGAACAACAATGCTTAGGCCTCTACTTCATGCTTATACATACTATATACATTTTATGGACACAGTCACTAATTATATTTTGTTTGTTTTTACTCCTGAACTTCCTCCGATCATTTTCATGATGTCCATCTAGTATGCTTCTATATGCCATATCTTTCTAACTGCGCTCTTTCACAAAAACTCACAATATATAACCTATATAAAAACTATTTATTTGAAGTTTTTCGTTCAATTTGACTATTTGTAGCAACTTTTTAAGTTAATACCTGCAGTCAACTTGTGCAATACTTTAGGTGATAAACTAGATTGCGTTCTTCATTTCACCTGTCACATTATTTTACATTATGAAGCTTACTGTAGTTCCCCAGAACAGTTGAGCCAGTCACTCGTTTTTTAAATAGCACAATGGGAGAAAACGGGAGCTGGTGAGTCCAGCTGTCTATTTGGTTTAACTTTCTAGTTAGCTAAGTAAGTGGCTGAATTAATAAAGAGACGCTTTCTGCCGTGTTTGAGAAGTCAAAGTGCTTTGGATGAGTTATCTGTAAAGCTGACCACTGCTGCGATCTTTTGATTTCCTTACGTTTTCCTCCCCCATCTTCTCCGAGCAGAGCAGGCAGGCCCTTGCCCTAGCAACTCCAGACTCCACACAGACACAGCATGTACACATACTGCTCCAGAGCCAGTACTGTTCTTCCTTCAGACAAGCATGTGTCAAAACTTTGTTCATTTGCACAATGTCTCTCGTTCACATTCGCTTGAAAATGTCCAAACGTGTTCAAAAATGACATTCAGTAGCTACTACCTATACTTGTATAGCTGTATGAGCTGGATTGCATGTCTTTGCAGTTAGTTTATTTTGTTTGCGCTCGTTTAGCATATTTAGCTAGCAGCCTCTATTGAAATTCACTATTAGTTTGTGCAATTTTTGTTAGCATTCTGGTAATGGATGACCAATGGGCTTTTTTTTGCTTTTTTAGCACCCCCTTGTGTACTAAGACGGTAATACCATAAATCCCGAGATGAGAGAAGGACGGTATGACGATATTAAAATCTGGATACTGCCAAACCCCAGTTATAATGTAACATTTGGTGTTCCCCAAGGTTCTGTGCTTGGACCCCTGCTGTTATCTTTATCCCTTCATACTGTTCCTCTTTGTACTTATGGTTTGCTATTCTGCTCATACGCACGCACACACACATGCACAAGCACACACACAGCGCCAGTCTTACCGTCCTGTGTGCAGGCTCCCAGCAGGTTGATGATATTTTTGTGTTTCCCGATCATCTTCATCATCTCCATCTCAGAGATCAGATCACTCAGGTCCTTCTCTGTGGCGTCCGCTACACAGGAAATAGGACGTGACATCACATCAATATCAACCAATACAAACACTCTTTTCAGGGTTAGAAATGATGATACCAAAATCTAAGTTTATTCTCATTTATATTTCAAGAAGTAGTCAGCAGTAGTTTCACAAACCTTTAAGCATCTTCACGGCAACCTTGGTGAGACGGGAGGGTTTTTCTCTGTCCAGACCTGCAGCCTCTGCTAGCATCACCTGACCAAAACAACCTTCACCCAGTGGCTTCCCCAGAGACAGCCTAGAACACAGACCACGGCTATGAATGTCCTGTTCATGGAGGTTATCAATCCCCTTGGTTAAGTTATAAGCACCTTATGCAGATTATGTATGCCATATGCAGGGTTATGTATGCCTTATGTTATGTATTGCCTAAATTATAGGTTGTGTATTCTCTATGCAGGGATATAAGCCCTCTAGTACCTGTCTCGTGACAGCTCCCAGAGCGGGTCCGCAGGCAGCTCATACTCTGACACGCCGGCCAGGTTGGGCGTGGCTCCACTGGAGAGGCGGTAGGGTCTGACCAGACACACCCCCGACTGCAGAGAGGAGGAGGAGTCTACTGACACCTAGAGAAAGAGAGGGAGAGGCAGTGAGAGAGGATATGGTAAGCGTTAGCCTGCTGAACTAAAGACTAGGGATTAGCTCAGGAAAAAAAGTATTCACGTCTCAGGCAAAGGTTACGCGTCACACGATCGTGGGTCATGGGTATGTGTGTGTGCTACCTGTCTGCGTAGGGGAATGCTCTTGGCCAGTTTGTGAACAGCCAGCTGGCTGCTGAAGTCGTTCTTCTTCGGGGAGCAGCGTAGTCGGCAGGCGGTCGCCATGGCGACCAGGAGCATGATAATGAAGAAGCCGACACAGTAGATGAAGATCTCCAGGTAGGCCTGAGACGGTACGGGGGAGGGGGGCGTGTCTGCAGAAGAGGGAGTGAAGGGGGATGAATTCATGCTTTTCTTTTTTTCTTCATTTAAAAAAAACATTTGATTGTTTGTTCTCTTCCATTTTAAGTGCACATTTGTAAAGCACAATGGGCTGCAAAGGTTTGTACACAAAGTGCATAAAGTTAAGAATAATCAAGTTTATTTATGTGTGTGTACCTTTGATCACGCTGAGCCAGGCAGAGTGGTGAGACATTCCTATAGAGTTTCCTGCCAGACAGGTGTACTCTCCTTCATCCTCCACAGACACATTCCTCAGCGTAAACACCTCCATCTCCCTGTCTGTGGTGTTAAACCCTGCAGTCTGAGAGTGATAGAGATGTTTATGTGGGGTAGCCCTCGTGAATACAGTGTGTGTTAACCTTCAGAATTCGTACGTAGATATATGTGTGTGTGTGTACCTTCAGTACGCGTACGTAGGGCAGTCCGTCTGGTCCCACTCTGCTGCCATTAATGGTGATGCGTTTGAGCCACTGGATGTGGGGCTGAGGGTCGCTGAACACTCTACAAACAAACTCCACGTCGCTACCCACCACTGCCGTACGATTAGCTGGCAGGCCTGCCTGGAGGATGGGCCTGTGAGGGGAACGTTCTAGAACACACAAACACACATGAAACGTGAGTGATGCAAACATACACATATACATCTCTCTATGTACGCATCTCAGAAGTAAACACAAACACATACTGACCTACTACGTCTAGCTGGTAGGTGTGTGTGAGGCTGCCGTGCTTGTTCTCCACAAGACATGTGTAGTTGCCTTTATCAGACGGGACCACAGACTCCATTATTATAGTCCACATGTGGTCTCTGAGCTGAAAGAGGGAGGGGGTGAGAGAGAGAGAGTCAAGGGAGTGAAAACGTTAAGAGTAACCAAGAAAAATACACATTTGGTGTGGTGTTTGTGATTGAAATGTAGTAAAGTAGAAATAAGTCAAATGTAGTTTTCCCCAAGGTTCAGTGCTTGGACCGTTGCTGTTATCTTTATACATACTACCCCTTGGCACTGTAATCTAATCTTTACTTTTAAGGTATGCTATTTATCTGCTGACTTTACTGATGATACACTATACAGACAACACAGTATGTAGCAGAGGGCTGTACAAACATACATACCTTGAAGCCTCCAATCCGCTGGTCTCTCCTGAACTCTTTTCCATTCCTGTACCACCGCAAAGTTGGAGTGGGATTACCAGTCGCCTGGCAACGGAATTTAACAGTCTTACTGGCAGGAACGGCATGGAGTCTCTTCTCCATCTTGTCTGGAGTCACCCACCGAGGAGCCATCGCTAGAGCGAAAGAGGTATTTATATTTCTAACTTTGTATTCAATCTCAATCTTTTTGTAAGTTGGTTTGGCTCCTACTTTTTCATACTAATAAAGTTAGAGGGAGCGAAGGGGAGTGACAGGTAAGGTGTGGGGGAAAGAGGTCAGAGGAAGGGGCTTACGTTGGAGCTTCTGGTTGTTGTACAGTTTTTTTTCCTCTGAGGAAGACTCTTCATCATCATCTTCATCCTCAGACGATGTAAGCATGTCAGCTATGGAGAGAGAGGAACACTTTCAGTATTGCTGTAGTTCTTAAACGATTACGTATGCCAAGTTAGAAACCAATATGTGTGTGTGTGTGTGTGTGTGTGTGTGTGTGCAAACAGGAAGGGCTGAGACAAGGTTACTCTGTGGGGGGTCTGAGATGCTCCTGCTGAGTGGGAAGGGAAACGGCATAAAGATGAACCTTTCACCTTTTAAGGTGCCCTGACTGTGGCCACAGCGCACACACACACACCACCACTCCTTCAGAGTTCCCCTGTAGCTCCCTAACCCCCAGTTCAGAGATAAACAAACACACTAATCATCAGCACCTTCATTCTGACAAATGGTTGCAAACAAAGGGTAAGGATGGGTGTGAGGGTGAGTTGGGGAAGGAGGGGTGAGTTTGGGGAGAGGAGCGCTCCAGAGCTTTAATAATGGGTCCTGTTTGAATACGTTGAATGAGAAAAAGCCTTCTTCCTTCTACCATTAGAGACAGTCGGATAGGGTTCCATTCCACAGCATTCACAGATCCAGCCACGTCAGATATGGGATTATTATAAGCAGGGACATTTTCTACCACACATCCCTTTCCATCTCTCAGCAGGACGTATATATTGATTACTATACAATATATAACTACTACTAATAATAATATGCCATTTAGCAGACGCTTTTATCCAAAGCGACTTACAGTCGTGCGTGCATACATTTTTTTTGTGTATGGGTGGTCCTGGGGATCAAACCCACTACCATGGCGTTACAAGTGCCGTGCTCTACCAGCTGAGCTACAGAGGACCACTATATTACTAACTAAGGACATTTTCTGCCGCATCCCTTCCCTCCCCACATCTCAGCAGGACTGCGACCAGAGAAAGCACGACTCATCATCATATCTTCTGTAATCTAGAGAGATTAGGTCCATAATCATCACCACCACAGAGTGACATAGACCATCCCGGAATCCCAGCTCCCAACCTCACTACAGCAGGTCTGTAATCTACAGGGAGAGGTTTACAGAAACTGCATTATGGGAAGTCCTGAATACTGTCTGCTCATAGCAGGGGGAATATTACTAATGAAAGGTTGTCAAAGATAGACAGAGAAGAGAGAGAGTGAGAGAGAGAGGAGAAAGGAGAGAGGATGGAGGAGAGGAGGGAGAGAGGAGAGAGGAGGAGGAGACAAGCCGAGAGACGAGAGAGAGAAGAAGAGAGCAGGAGAGCAGGAGAGTGGAGAGGAGAAGGAGAGAGAGAGAGAGATGAGAGAGGAGAGAGAGAGACGGCGAGAGAGAGAGAGAGAGAGAGGAGATGAGAGAGAGAGAAGAGAAGAGAAAGAGAGGGGAAAAAATTGTTTGGGCAATTTTGCAGCAGAAGTTACATTTTGGTGTTTTTGACTGAGAGAAAAACAAGAATTTATGGGTTCCAAAACAACTGTATCAAACACACATTCTCTCCACTGGAAGCCAGATGGTTGTATCCAAAATACACACACACACACAAGCACGCACACACCACATGGTGTTAGGGCTGGTCAGGATGGTCGTGGTTACAGGACTCGCCAATAGAAATAAAACCAGCTCCTTTCAGACAGCATTCATCCTTTCCTACCAAACACAGCCTTTCTGTTCCACATCCATCCAACTGTGTGTGTGTGTGTGTCTGTGTGTGTGTGTGTGTGTGTGTGTGTGTGTGTGTGTGCGTGTGTGGGGACAGGATATGTAAACCATAGCCAGCGGTGAAGAAGCTAAACCGTGGTTGCACCATGAAAAATCACTGTAAACATCCTCAGTTTTTAAACTAAATGGACAAACCTTGAAGATTGAGGTCCTTTCTAGACCAATATAGAACCTCCCCAACCCCAAACACACGCACACGCATAAATTGAAGAGTATGTTCAGTTCTATGGCTCAGAATAGAGACCCACTGCTAACTGAACAGTTCCAGACAGCAGAACAGAGTCAGTGGGATTGAACCATCATGGAAGCAGCCTAAACCCAGAACCCTCAGCCTGACATGAAAAAGAGCAGATAAGAAAGAGGAAGAGAAGGTTCACGTTAAACACACACAAGCGAGCAAACGCAAGCACGCGCACACACAGAAGGCTAATGAGACGCAGCCCTGCCGAGAGAGAGCAAGCACACACAGAAGGCTAATGAGACGCAGCCCTGCCGAGAGAGAGCAAGCAAGAAAGAGGAGAGAGAGAATATAAGATCTTTATGTGGCCCATGTCTCTTACCTGTGTCACTGTCTGTGTCAGTGAGGGAAGCAGCTGGTCTGGACTGGGTCAGGGGGGAGTGGACCAGCAGAACCAGCAGAGACCAGAGTAGCAGCAGAGACCAGCGAGACAACAACATAATGGCACTGGTACAGCCTTAACTGGTACAGTACTGGAATGGCAAGGGCTACTGGTACAGTGCTGGCTGTAGAGGGCGCTCCAATGGATCAACCCACAACCATCAACTCTTCAGGTGGTGAACTGTAAGAGGAAAAAAGAGAGGGAGAGAAGGACAATAGTGGTCATGTTTTTTAAAAAACATGACATTTTATGAAAAGAAAAGTTGAGAAAAGGTCGTGACACCACTACCCTGTCAGCCCATGCTGCCAGGAGGACATTGGTGGAGTCTGTGACATATGCTCTAGTGTCTCTTTTCACAGGTCTGAGATGGGAATTCCGCTTCCCACACTCCTCAGCCCTCACACTTTAGCATGTGTCCCTGAGGGGAGGTGAGAGGGGCACACCTACCACACACACAGACACACATATTTGACGCTTGTCCCCTGTCAGATCAACTGTCACACCTTAAATGCCCATCGAACATTACAAAACAAAACGGTGTTATATCACAGGTACATCGTACGTCATCTTCACAGAGTCTTGCTCCACTACTGAATGCACAAGTGTAGTGTCTCTCGTAATAGATCACATTTATTTTGGGAGATTGCTAAATATGACCTTTTTATTCAAGAGAGAATAAATGTATTTTTCAGGTGATAATAAAGCATGCTTTGTTTAGTTACTTTTTCCTCAACTTGTTTCTCTAACTTTATAGCAAGTCAAGCTTGACATGAAATGTTTTGAAAAAATAATTCAAAAAATAATTATCTCTGGTCTCTCATCCCGATTAGATCCAAACCAATTCACCTACCGTGCTTCCAGGGGTGTTGATGATGCGTTACTGGTCATGCTGAACAATATCTACGAAAATTTAGAAAAGGCAAATAGCCTAGTGAAAATTGTATTAATTGACTTCAGTAGCGCGTTTAAAACCATCCAACCCCACCTACTGGTGGACAAGCTGGTGAATTTGGGTGTCAACGCTCTACTGATCAAGTGGATTAATAGTTTCCTTGTGAACCGTACTCAACAAGTGAAGTTTAACTCTGCCATCTCTACATCTAGAACGGTGAATACGGGAGCCCCTCAATGTTGCATACTTTCACCGATACTGTACACACTGTACACAAATTATTGTCAAGCCTCTGACTCAGCCCACAAATTCTTTAAATATGCAGATGACACCGCTGTTCTGGGTTTCCTCCCCCCAGACCAAGCCTCGTCAAGGTTTTGACAGAGAAACATCCAAATTCGTCCAGTGGTGCGCAGATAACTTTCTTGAAATAAACGTTAAGAAAACAAAAGAGATGGAAATTGATTTCAGAAGGAACAAAACTCCACTACCCCCTACGATGATCAACGGGGAATCAGTCGATAGAGTGACCACATATAAATACCTGGGAATCGAAATAGACAATAAACTGAAATTCAATGACTGTGCCTTTGCAAAGATAAAGAAATTGCAACAGAGAATGTTTTTTTACGCAAACTGAACCATTTTAATGTTGACCGCCATATCTTACAAATGTTCTAGAAATTTGTCCTGCAGAATGTGCTGTCCTTTGGTCTGATATGGGGGTTTGGAAACATGCGAGGTCAAGCTTCAGCGCTTGATTAAGACGGCGGGAAGGATAATTGGTATAGATCAAGAATCAGCCACCAAACTGTACACAAAACTCATCCTCCTAAAACTTGAAAGCATTTTACATTTCCCCTTCACTCAAAATTCAGTCACAGCAGCAGCCGGACAAAGGGAAAGAGACTTCTTCAAAAGAAAATCAAAACAGATATTTATGGGGACTCTTTTATTCCAACAGACATTAGGCTGTATAATAGATAGTCTGTTGGTCCCTCGAGTGTACAACTTATTGCACTTTCACTTTAATTCTATTGTGTATTTTATGTGTTTTCATGTTTTATGTACCGTCTTTTTAAGCACATGAATTTTAAGCACATGAATTTCCAAAAAATGAATTTCCCCCTGGTGGGATAATAAAGTTGATCTGAATCTGAAGCTAGCTTATCATCCAAAACAAATGTCATTACCATCACAAAACTTAAACGAGAGGGAACAGTCATATAATATAATTGGCTCAGCAGCCAATATGAATTATTTAACATTACTATTAAAATAGTACTCACTTATAGGAATGAGTAATTGTTTACAAGTTGCTAGCTATCCCATAAAACCATCAATATTTTCATTGTCTGTGGTTTGGTAACTTCCCGTTCTTCGACGGACTCTGGCAGGACCGAAGACAACGCAAAGTTTGAAACATTTCAAAGTTTGCAGCATCTGTCTAGCAATGGAGCCTTCAACCGCAAGGGGGCATTGCGTTTCCACTCTGTTTTGGACATCCCCATTGAAATGCATGACATCCGTCGCAACGTAACGGAGTGCTTATGGGTAATGTGAACGAGGCTTGAGTTATACCTCCCTCTAAAGGCCGCTACACTGTTTACGTGCGTAGATCTACGCACGTGCATGTTCATAGGTGGAGTCGGTTTTTGGGGACAACAGACACTTTTCCTTGCCATTCCACCCAGAGAGGAAGTCCACCTTGTGTAGTGTATATCCACTAGGGGGCTTGGGGTGCCAGAGTAGCTTACCAAGCAAGAGGGGCCGAGGCACTCTTTTTGACTCTAGATAGCGACGACATTTGAACTTCAGGATCCAGTGTTATATGCCTGTTTACAAATACTAGCTATCTAGCTACATGTCTGGTGTTCTATGCTTTCAACTCTACTTTAAGGATTTAATTAGCTACAGAAGCACACATGTCTGCCTCCAAATTGGAAGAGCTTGAAGTGCTAACAAACGAGGGAGAAAGTGGCATATTTGTCCACTGAACACTACTAGACGGGATGATGAAGAATACGTCTCTTGTCCGACCTATGCGAAGCATTGACGAGGAAAGACATTTTCAATACTTTTGGACGTGGGCTGGCAGATTTCACGACTTGACGACCATGGTAGACGTGAGCTCATACATTTTCGCATTTGTTCATACTGGTCCCCAATAGGAATCAAACCCTCAAACCTGGCGTTGCAAGTGCCATGCTCTACCAGCTGAGCCACACGGGACCACAAAGACAGACACCTTCATCCTTGTGCTCATTTTTGTCATATACACTGCTCAAAAAAATAAAGGGAACACTAAAATAACACATCCTAGATCTGAATGAATGAAATAAACTTATGAAATACTTTTTTCTTTACATAGTTGAATGTGCTGACAACAAAATCACACACAAATTATCAATGGAAATCAAATGTATCAACCCATGGAGGTCTGGATTTGGAGTCACCCTCAAAATCAAAGTGGAAAACCACACTACAGGCTGATCCAACTTTGATGTAATGTCCTTAAAACAAGTCAAAATGAGGCTCAGTAGTGTGTGTGGCCTCCACGTGCCTGTATGACCTCCCTACAACGCCTGGGCATGCTCCTGATGAGGTGGCGGATGGTCTCCTGAGGGATCTCCTCCCAGACCTGGACTAAAGCATCCGCCAACTCCTGGACAGTCTGTGGTGCAACGTGGCGTTGGTGGATGGAGCGAGACATGATGTCCCAGATGTGCTCAATTGGATTCAGGTCTGGGGAACGGGCGGTCCATAGCATCAATGCCTTCCTCTTGCAGGAACTGCTGACACACTCCAGCCACATGAGGTCTAGCATTGTCTTGCATTAGGAGGAACCCAGGGCCAACCGCACCAGCATATGGTCTCACAAGGGGTCTGAGGATCTCATCTCGGTACCTAATGGCAGTCAGGCTATCTCTGGCGAGCACATGGAGGGCTGTGCGGCCCCCCAAAGAAATGCCACCCCACACCATGACTGACCCACCGCCAAACCGGTCATGCTGGAGGATGTTGCAGGAAGCAGAACGTTCTCCACGGCGTCTCCAGACTCTGTCACGTCTGTCACATGTGCTCAGTGTGAACCTGCTTTCATCTGTGAAGAGCACAGGGCGCCAGTGGCGAATTTGCCAATCTTGGTGTTCTCTGGCAAATGCCAAACGTCCTGCACGGTGTTGGGCTGTAAGCACAACCCCCACCTGTGGACGTCGGGCCCTCATACCACCCTCATGGAGTCTGTTTTTGACCGTTTGAGCAGACACATGCACATTTGTGGCCTGCTGGAGGTCATTTTGCAGGGCTATGGCAGTGCTCCTCCTGCTCCTCCTTGCACAAAGACGGAGGTAGCGGTCCTGCTGCTGGGTTGTTGCCCTCCTACGGCCTCCTCCACGTCTCCTGATGTACTGGCCTGTCTCCTGGTAGCGCCTCCATACTCTGGACACTACGCTGACAGACACAGCAAACCTTCTTGCCACAGCTCGCATTGATGTGCCATCCTGGATGAGCTGCACTACCTGAGCCACTTATGTGGGTTGTAGACTCCGTCTCATGCTACCACTAGAGTGAAAGCACCGCCAGCATTCAAAAGTGACCAAAACATCAGCCAGGAAGCATAGGAACTGAGAAGTGGTCTGTGGTCACCACCTGCAAAACCACCTTTATTGGGGGGTGTCTTGCTAATTGCCTATAATTCCACCTGTTGTCTATTCCATTTGCACAACAGCATGTGAAATTTATTGTCAATCAGTGTTGCTTCCTAAGTGGACAGTTTGATTTCACAGAAGTGTGATTGACTTGGAGTTACATTGTGTTGTTTAAGTGTTCCCTTTATTTTTTTGAGCAGTGTATTTTGGATGTGGCAGCCAAAAACCTATTGAGTTTTTCCAATGGCTCTAGTCTGAGAGATGGGCCTACGATTGTAGTATTCGTACACTAATTATGAGAGAAACTTTGTTTCCTATCAATTTACAAATCACAATACAAGACTACCATAAAGACAGACACTTCATTTTCATGTTGTTTTTGTCATATATTTTTCTAAGGCTAGTACAGACTACATGGTTCTGTAACATGTACTGTCTGACATTAAGGACAGACCCCCTCAAGACATTAACCTCATCTACATGGCCATGTACAACCTTGTGTTATGTAAACCTTTG